CGTGACGTCCATGACGTCTCCCTCACTAGCATTTTTGTAGCCATTATTAAACTTTAGGGCAAGGCATAATAATTGTAGTAAGACTTTTTTGATCGACAACCAACCAAAATTTTGAATTCAAAACTCGCAAGGCTCTGATTATCTAAGAGGAGTAAGTAATAATCACATGTTGTAGCTAGTTCAAATGAAATTATCATTGACTCATCATTCGACTAATGATAAAATATTCAAACTATCACCAAAATTCTGGAAAAATTAACTTTAGGTTAAAGAAAGGTGAATAAAAAGTTGAAGAACGTGTTGTCAAATAATTTAGTAACTCTTATGAATTATTTTCAAACATAAAATATACTTATACTTTAAAACTTCAAGTGTGCAATATTTTAAAAAATAAGAATTTTGTGGTGTATTAAAAGTATTATATGCTTCATGTGATAAGGTTTTGTTAGTGTTTAAAATTAAATACAATTTCATACCAGACTGGATCTAGGTACAATCCAATAAAACATTGATATTGATTAGAGTCAATTGGCCCAATATCCTAAAACTATATCAATATTAGCTATCTACCATAATAATAAATTTATAAATTTAAAATGTACTTAAACAACCTAAAAAGACTACTTTAGCCCTCATCTTTAACCTAAAAAGACTACGTTACATCCCAGACACGAAATCGTTCGCCGCCGCTGAGGAAGAGGAGGGAAGGAAGAAGGAGGAGGAGGAGGAGAGAAGAGGAGGGGAGGGGAGGGGATGACGAGGAGAGGGGAGGATGAGGAGAGGAGGAGGAGGGGGGAAGGGAGAGGACGAGGAGGAGGGAGAGGATGGGTATCTCTTTTTCAGATCTGATGATGACGGTGCTGACGTGGTGGCGGAGAATCCATGCGGTTGTGCTTGATTTCGAAAATTTTATGTAACTCGGTTTGAATCAAGGAGGAGGGGAGGGGAGGGTGAGGAGGAGGAGGGGAGGAAGAAGATGAAACGTGAGAAAAAAGTAGAAAGGAGAGAGAAGAGATTAGGGGTAGTAGTGTAATTAAAAAAAAAGAAAAGTGGTTAGGGTAGATAGGTAATTTCTCGATTATTGGTGTATATACACTGCAATTTTCCTTTAATGTATTCTCTAGTAAAGTCACCTCCAATCTAATCTATTAAAACTGAAGTACAAATTTGAAATAACCCTGATTTTTCCTAAAAAATTACCATTCCATGCCATTAGCATAAAACAGGGTCGTTTCAAACTTTTGCTACCCATTTTCCTAAACGAAAACATTTGTTATGCATTTAATGTTCTAATCTTAACAAAAGTTTCCTTATAAATAGATAATCAGTTAAGAAAAAGATCCCGCAAATAATTTCATTTAATAGTTTATAACCATATTTGAACAACCAAACTTTACATACAGTAGATTTTAGATATTTAACAACAGGATGTTACCTTACGGCTATGAATGGTGACCATAGGAACAAGGAGGAACAATACATTCCTTAATATTCCTCAAAAAATTTATCATTCATAAGGAATAGCTTTTCCTTTCTATTCCTCATCATTCTTTTTATTGTAGAGATTTATTTAACAAATTTGTTCCTTATTAAACTTGATATGGAATAACTATTCCTCCTCATTCCCATAATTTTATTCCCATCTATTCCTTTTTTATTTGTTCTTGATGTTCCTGTGATGGTTACCAGTTAGAGTTCTCCATTATTGCATCCCACATATATATCTACCAAACATAAACATATAAGGTAAATCAAATTGGTTGTATCATATCTAAACAGAATATTCCTTAAAAAGACCATCAATTAATTGAAATTAATTATCATATTTCACTCTTGCCATCTAAACAAATTTGTCGATTGAATAGCATATGTAACACGCCATCTTTGTGTCATTAAGATAGTCTTTATTCATTCTGATAGTTAGTGATTTGTGTATCGGTTTGATTCTGTTAAAGGGCTCTGCTTAGGTGGTTCCTTATTTCGCCTTCTTATGCTTGGTTGCTCAATAGAATTCATAGAAACAAAAAGGAATGTCATATCTACTTTCCTTTGATATTTTTTGTATTTTCATATTCTATTTACACTTTGCAGATAATCTAATTTGGGATTTTGTATTGCTTTTCCCATTAATTTTCTACAGCTGCAATGGACCCAAATGCTTCACCCAGCCTGAAGAAGACGATAATCCTTTTAATAACAGACGCCTTGAACCCCAAGTTGAGTCTACTATTGAGATCGTTAGACGGGTAACCCGCCATTGATTCTACTTCTTTCTGATGCATGTTTTGGATGATAAATCATATTATTGTTTCCTTCTTTAACTAGGAGCGTGAAGAAATAACCAAAAGAATTCGACTTGACAAGCCAACAGAAAACTTTTTATTTGAACGGCTGCCAACAGAAAACTCTCAGCCATTTTGATCACCAGTATCATCACATAAACAACGGTGATATTATGGTTATGATTTGCCACTTACTCCAGAAATCGTGTCCCCTCTAAAGTCTGACCTAATTAAATATTCTTTCAATTTTATATCAGTTTGGTCTGGCGATTTATTTTCATTTTGATGTTTCATATACAAAATAAGTAATCCATTTATACTATATACAATAACAAAATTCTAAAATTATATATTTGCACATGAAAAATATAAAATTGAAATAAAAACAAATGAAAACTTCAAAAAATCAATACTTATTGTATTACTAATTATTTTATCCAAAATGCATTTAATAAGATTAAAATCACTCTAAAATCCTTTTTAACATTTAATATATATTTTTTCTGTTAAAAAATAAGTAATCCATTTATCGTATAAAATAATAAGTTATTTAAAAACTTTAAATATTAAGGTACAAATAAATATTAAAATAACATTAAAAATAAAATAAATAAATTAATTTCTTATTGTATTACTAATCATTTATATGTGCAAAAATAAATTCTATACAAAACAACATTTAATAGCTTTTACAAATTGTATAAAAAAATCAATTACGATAGTAATTGAACGGCAATCTAATAATATTCATCTACAATAAACATATCTAATCTATTAAAAGGAAAGTACATTTAGTACTTAACCCTGACTTTTTCACAAAAATTGCATTTTTGTGTCATTATTTTAAAAACATAGAATTTAGATTTAGATTTGTACCAATACCATCAATTCTTTAAATTTCTAAACAATTGATTTTCATAGTTATTAAACCATCAGTAAACATTTTTATTCTCTTATTATTAAACCATCACTAAACCAGTTATTTTCTTATTAATAAATCATAAACCGCTTATTTTCATATTAATAAATTAACACTAAACCACTTAATTCTTGGTTCCCTATATATCGTATTTTCTAAAACACAATTTGTTGCCATATTACTAAACCATCGGTACAATAACATACTTTATAATTGGACACAAAAAAAACTGAACAAATTACATCAATCTCAAAACTCAAAGATTATGAAATTGTCAAATAGATGTTAAACATATAATAAGTTAGAATTATCATCCGCGCGGGCGCGCGGGTCCAAAACTAGTGGGATATTAAAACACCAAATTTGGTGTGATCTCATCTCCAATGGGATATCCAAAATTACACCATCTCACCAAATTTGGTGTAGAGTGAATATAGTTAAACCAAATTTGGTGTAACACTATTCATCACACCAAATATTAAAATAATATATTTTATTATTTTTATTTAATTATAAACAGATTAATTTTATTAATTAGATTTAATTTACAGTTAAAAAGAATATATCATATTATTTCTATGTTTTATTTGTATTTCCACGTTACTATAACTTTAAACTATTATTGTATTTATATTTTTAATTAATAATAATTAAATGAGTATTATTAATTACATTAAATTATAAAAAACCATTTTAAATAAGTAAATTTTAATTTTGAAGAAGATTGAATAAATAAATAAGTATACAAATTAACTAAAAGAAAAAATAACATAGATAAATAAACATAAAGATGAAATTAGTATATTTTAATAAATAGATATAAAAACTAAATTTCAAAATATAATTAGTCAATTATAAAAATGTCTTAAATTATCAAAACAAACAAATTAATAATATAATTTTGTTTTGGTGTAGAATTTGGTGTGATGGTTGGAGATAAAAAAAAAGTTTAACACCAAAACATCAAATTTGGTGTTATGGTTGGAGATGCCCTAATTACAGAGAAACCTCTAGAGTATATACTAATTCCTTAATATTGATTTCTAAATTTTTGAAGTACTATATTAAATGCCAGATATGGAAAATTTATTTAAAAGAAATTTCTTACTAAATGTTTATGGTTTCTAAATTCTCAATTTCAGCCACGGTTTCATCTTCTGCCATTTTGATTGTTGCTGTTTTCTTACTTAAGAGTATATAAATGCCTGCAGAAATTTCTTACTAAATGTTTAAGTACGCAACTCCAACAAAAAAACTTTTGAGAAGCAACGTCAACAAAATTCTAAAGAGGAAGAAGACGATCAAGGAAGGCCTGAAGGAACAAGATCTCTGCAGGCATTTTAACAACCAATCGCACTTAAGTTTTCTCTTTATTGGGGCCTTGCTATTTGGACTCTTGTTAATTACTTTCCTAATCAAGAGATTTAACTTCAAAAGCGATACAAGAAGGGAAAAAAACATTCGAACCAAAAACTAATTAGTGAACAGTGATGTATTAATGGACACGGATACTAACTTGGTTGCTTCACATTAATTAGCAAACGGTGAATTAATGTCACATATGCCAGTGTACGTGCGAGTATGATTAATGCATCATTATTAGAAATCATAACTGTACACAAAATTTAAAAAATTAGTTAACCAAATCTATGTTTAAGTCCGCTAATAAATCTAAGCAATAATTAAAATCTTAATGTCCTTAATTATTTTTAAAATGTGTCTTCTTTATCGTGTAAACCACACTACTAGTTCACCCGTCTGTTCACTAACCAAAGTCACTTTCTTTCCTTTACCCAAGAGCGGATTTTCACCATCTCGATCTGCCCCCCCCCCCCAAGCTCCTACTCTTCCTTGAAGAATCTTCGCAGGTCCATTCTCAATCTTTTTTTTTTTGTTTCACTTAAAATTTTTATTAAAAGATTTCAACTTTATGCTCTCATGCTTGTCGTTTGGGTTTCTAGAACGTAAGACAATGTGAGTTCAATCGAAAGGGTTTTGTGGGTTTGTTTCAGATATTCCATAGATGGGTTCTCACGATCTGTTCGTTTTCTCGAGAAAGGTCTCTCCTTTCTTGTTTTTTTATAGATGATAGTTGTTAGATTCACGAAATATTTTTTTTCCCAAATTTTGGGAAATATTTAAATATATATTTTTGGTATTATTGTCTCGATATTATTGTTTGCATTGTTTGATAAGGAAATCAAATAACTTTTGATTCTACCACCATTGAATATTACTGGAGTTTAATAAAGTTTGAAGCTTTGAAGTTGAAAATGTATATCTCCTTAATATTCTTGGTTCAACGGACCAATTACATTAGAAAGTTTCCAAATTAGAATCATGTAGTGACCAATATATATATGCATTTTTGCAGCTGAGCAATCTCCCCTGTATATTGCTCTAACCGTTGATCTTTGTGTTGTCTTTGACTTCAGTTTCAGAGATCGGAGGAAGATGAAGCTGTCCTAAGAAGACCTCAAGGTTGTGTCTTGTAGTGGGATTTTTAAAACATGGGGAAGGAAAATGCAGTCTCTCGTCCTTTCACTCGTGCCCTTGCCTCTGCATTGCGCGCTTCAGGAGGGACTTCTACTACACATAATCAACAGAGAGCAAACACAAAAAGACCAGCCTCGGAGGATAATAACATCACTGAGCCACCCAATAAGAAGAAGAAGCGGGTGGTACTAGGGGATATCTCAAATGTTGTTGGCTTCAATGCAGCTAAACTTGAGGTTGTTAAAAAGTGCATCATGTTTTTTTATTCTTTGTTAATGTTTTTGCTTCTTGTGAAGTAAAACATGGATCTCTGAAACATGGTTTTGTCATTTTCAGGCGAAAAACATCAAGCAGGTAAAGAACGGATCGGCTGTTACCTCAGATGTTACTGATGACACAGATGATAACTGTACTGAGAAGTGGAGTCTCAGATTGCCTCCAAGACCTCTTGAAAGATCAGCTTCAACAGGTGATTTTACAAAACACAAATTTTAGGTCTGTTATATATGATTTAATATACCTCTATCTTCTTTTACAGTTGGGAAAAGTGATGTTATTGGTAGTTCAACTGAACTGGATATCTCAAAAGTCATAAACATTGATTCTGAGGACAGTGATCCTTTACTCTGCTGCCTCTATGCCCCTGAAATCTACTACAATTTGCGTGTTTCAGAGGTAACTAACTCCTAGGCTTGATAGTCTTCAAAGAAACTTGATAAGCCTAAGCACTCAAAGTTTGATTCATTGTGCTCCAAGCAGCTTAAACGGAGACCGGTTCCAGACTTTATGGAGAGGACACAGAAGGATGTCACTCAGTCCATGCGGGGAATTCTTGTTGATTGGCTTGTGGAGGTTAGTGATTTAGTGCCCCCACTCCTGATGCTAACTTCTGCAGCTTCTCTCACAAAAGTTTCATCTAATCACAGGTCTCTGAGGAATACACGCTTGTTCCTGACACTCTTTACCTCACAGTGTATCTCATAGACTGGTTTCTCCATGGAAACTACTTGGAAAGACAGAGTCTTCAACTCCTCGGCATCACTTGCATGCTAATTGCCTCGTAGGTTCCCTCTTGAAATCTCGTCTCAAATGCAAATCAAACTTAATTTTTTGTTCTGTTTATCCCTTTTAACTTTTACAGGAAGTATGAGGAGATTACTGCGCCACGCGTTGAAGAGTTCTGCCTCATGACAGATAACACTTACACAAGAGACCAGGTCCTGGAAATGGAGAACCAAGTACTTGCGCATTTCAGCTTTCAAGTATACACTCCCACTCCAAAAACGTTCCTAAGGAGGTTTCTCAGAGCAGCGCAAGCCTCTTACATGAGCCAGCGCCTTGAACTGGAGTTTCTAGCTAGCTACTTAACGGAGTTGACGTTAATAGACGGTCATTTCTTGAAGTTTCTTCCTTCTGTCATAGCTGCTTCAGCTGTTTTTCTTGCCAAATGGACATTAGACCAATCAAACCATCCATGGGTCTGTATTGTCGCTTCTCTTTCTCTCTATATCCAGACTCAGATTAGCTCCACAACTCTTGGATCTTTAACTTTGTTTTGATATTTCCCCCTGTAGAATCCAACACTGGAGCACTACACAACGTACAAAGCTTCTGACCTGAAAGCATCTGTTTATGCCTTGCAAGATCTGCAGCTTAACACCAGAGGTTGTCCTTTGAGCTCTATACGCATGAAGTATAGGCAAGAGAAAGTAAGTTTGTATACACTTAAACCACATACTAAACCCGGTTTGGTTCTCCATCCTCATAAGACTTTCTTTTTTTGGATTTGCAGTTCAAATCTGTGGCGGTTCTCATTTCTCCAAAACTACTTGACACACTATTCTGAAGGAGTAAACCGAACGGTTTAACTCCTAACCGATGATGAATCTGTAAGATTGATGGTCCGGTCCGGTTCGTCTTCATTCATCTGTTGCTCTTTTTGTTCATAAAACAGTCCCACTCATCTAGTACCTGATTAGAATCCGGTTTAGGTTGGTTTAGTTTGATCTGGTGTTTGGTTCTTCTAAACCCGGTTTCATATTATTGGTAGTAACAAGAGGTTATTTTAATGGTAACGAGAATGTACATTTGTCCCCACCCCCATTTTGAGGCAATGTTGACAGTTTTGGAAGTTATATTATTTTGGATACAAAGTTCTAAAAAAATATTTATATAATTAAATCGTATATATTTATATTTTTTCTTGATTATTGATATTGGATTGTTATCTGTAAGGTATGGGAACCACATGTGGACTATATATAAAAGAATACAGTTTGTCTATGTGATTGAAACATTGATTCAACGAGTTTTATTCTTTTAATCTGTGAAAAAAAATATATTTGGATATCTCTAAAACTACCTCACATTCATATGTGATTATAAATCATTTCATTACTGATCTCTTCATAATCCTTAACCTCTTGCATGATGCGACAAACATTCTGCACGTAAATAATTCCATAATTAGTAATTAATCAAATGAAAACGTAATTAATTGTCTAATGGAAATTTATAAAAAGCTAACTGAAAACATACTCCCAAGGAACATCACCAGCAAGCATCCAATCTCCATCTTTATCTTCATATATCGGAATGTATTCATTTTCCTTCAGTGTATCATCTTCATTTCATTTATAAAAAAAATTGGTTAATATCATATCTTGATCATTAATGCAATGATTATAGAAAAAGAAAATTCAAAACTAACCAAAGTTGATAAAGCATCCGAATAGAATTTGTAGAGCGGAAGCGAGATCTTGGTAACATTTGTACATTTCCAAATCGATCTTCCTGAGAAACGCAGCTCCATCTACACTCACTTTCACATACGAAGTCCTTGTCCCTTCAAGGCTGTTCTTTCTCCTGAACGAACAAACCGGTGGCCATCCCACTACTTTATCACTCTTTGTCGCCGGTTCACATTTCAAGTCACTCTCTACTTCAGAAGAAACCCTAGACTTTCCGGTGATGATGATTTCTCCGGGAAGACCTAGCCGTAGCTCGGTCATATCAAGTCCAAGATTACTCTCATTTGCCATTTTGGTGTTCATATAAGTTGAAGATGAATGTTAATGTGTTTTCTAAATTTTGAATTTGTTGAGCGTTTTATATGTTTTTTCATGGGGACCGAGAAGGGTAACCTTAAGAGACAAGCTCGCTTAGCATTGGTTTATCTTGTCGGCTCCATTCAAAGATCTTGTCGAAATCTAAAAACATTTATTTGCCAAGTCGTGTTCAAAAGGTCGACAATATTGGTCCGTTGATCCGACAGATCAGACGGCTATGATTTCGTAACCGAAAAGTAGGGCTTCTTTATCAGCCGTTAGATCAATAACCATAATACTATCGACTTTAGACATCCCATGTTATGCGTGTGATTTGATGTCTCTAATCAACGACATGAAATTATAATACCATACTAATGGTCGACTATATAATAATGTTATAATTCACATTAGAATCATGTACGTATTATATACTCATGTTTCTCTACAACCGAACAGGTTTTACTCAAGTTAAGTCTTAGCTCAAAGACAAGTTATATACAGAGAACACCCACACGAAGCTATGATACACCTACATATTGTCCCTCGATATATGTAATTATTTCCATTTTTGGCAGATATTTCCATATTTTTGTATCGAGTTTGTTCATTTTCGGAATGTACATATATGTATATATAGACTGTAGTCAATAAGCTAGATTTCCATTTGTGTGTAAGTTAAGTTTACATATACGCATTTTAGGGTTTCCTTGATCATGTAGATTGTATACGACTGGCTTTCGCCAACTAATAACACAAAACAGTGGAAATTCTACAAGAATTTGTGATAATGGAGCATGAAACCCACAACGATAATGATCATTACATCATCGACATTCACATCGACATTCACAACGACGACGATTCTTCGTCAAGTAATTCGTCTCTGTCTACGGATGAGGGAACGTCAGACAGTGGCGGATCTAGGTTGAATGAGGGAGGTGCAACTGCCCACCATGAATTTTGTAAGTTAGTGTAGTTTTGAACAGATATTTTTTTTACTAATACCCCTGTTGAAAATTTGTTTTTAAAAGTATTAAACAGTTACTATAATTCTGTCATCGGTAAAACAATATTTCTAGATCCGCCCTTGACGTCAGATGAAGACTCAAGTTCATGTTCGGTTGGATTGATTTCAATGGAGTTTGTATTCACTTCTGTCCAGATTGTTGCAGCGTTAGTAGTTTGGACTCTATCAAAAGAGGAACATCCAAAAGCACTATTGTTAGCATGGCTCATTGTTTACACTTGTTGCTGTATTACATGTACGTTCCTTCTATCTTGGCGAATATATAACCAAGTTGAAAAATATCCAGGAACAAGGTATAATAGTAACTTATGCTTTGTGTTATAAAATAAAGATTTTATATCTTTTTTTCTTTTGTCAACGAAACCTATATTGATGGCAGAGTGAATAGGGTGATGGAGGAAGTGAAGATTGGGCTAGAATGTTTCTTTGTTTTGTGGTTAATTTTGGGAATTTTTTGGATTAGTTTTGGAAACTCATCTCCGTCTGATGCTCCTAATCTCTACAAGTTCGACTCACAACTATGTCTCAAGAGATAATTAATTAAACTCTAATTAATTGGCACTCACCTTTGTCTATTTATCGTCCTTGTGTAGGTTATGTATAACTTTCATTGCTTTCAGCTTCGTTAGGTTTTCTGTTGCATTACTTCTCTTATGCACTGGTATCTATCTACCTCTTCTTGCATTGTATTGTTCAAAAAAGTTCAGAATATTATTTCTCTTAGATATTGCATTTGAACAAATAATGAGATAAAATGATGTAGATTCTGAAGAGGAAGGTAAGGGAGGTGGATTGGTATTCAATGGGCCGATTAATGATGATGTGGGTGTTATAACTATCATATCATATTTACTATCTGTTATAAAAAGCTGTATTTTCTTTCTTTCTGATTTGTTTGACTAATTTAGTGGTTTAACTATGCAGTCTTGCTGCATTTGCTTGGAGAAATTTGGAGGGAAAAAGAGAGTCATAAGAAAACTCGAATGCTCCCATATGTTCCATTTAGATTGTATAAAAGAATGGCTGAAAGTGAAACGCACATGCCCTCTCTGTCAATCACCGGCAGTGTGACGATGATGACAAGAGAGAATGGCAAGGGGACAATATTTTACGTAGACTTGAGACATAGTTTACCATACACGAAATTTTCTATGGCTTGAGATACTGATTCTTGTTACAAGTTTGAGACGCGTTGTAAAATATTAAATACAGTTTACCACACTGAATTTTCTCCAACAAAAACATTTGGTGGATTATATTGGGTATGACCGGTAAATACTAAAGTAATGTGGAGTAAATTAAATGAAGGGGATGGGTGTGAATTTATTAGAATAACTGAGAGTAAAAGTTAATATAAATAAAATTAAACAATAAAACAAAAATTAAAGTCAACATTAGTAGCTATCTCTCTGAGACTGAGAGAATAATTACCTCTCTTTAAATAGTACCTAGCGTAATACAGTAATGAGGAAATTTATTTTCATCTTGACTGACAAGTTAGGGATTGTTCGTTTCTTCGTTCAAATGATCCATTCGAATGGAAATGAGCTTTTTGTTCGTTTAGACACAAAAAGTACAACTCGTTCAGATGATCCATTTGAATGATTTTTGGAAATTTAGGCTTAATTTTAAAGTTCATCCAGCTGAACGAATTTTGATCATTTGAATGGAGATGGTTCATTCGAAATAGTATAATGTCTATTATACCCCTGTTTTAATTCACAAATTACAAACTTAAACATTAAATTATTATGTGACACACGAAAACTGAAAAAACCTACAAAATCTCGTTTTCCCGCCAAATCCGAAAATCTCGTTTTCCCGTCATAATCACAAAATCTCGTTTTCCCGCCAAAATCACAAAATCTCATTTTCCCAAAAAAACGGAAAAATCTCGTTTTCCCGCCAAATCCAAAAAATCTCGTTTTCCCGCCAAAATCACAAAATCTCGTTTTCCCAAAAAACCGAAAAATCTTGTTTTCCCGCCAAATCCGAAAAATCTCGTTTTTCCGCCAAAACAGCAAAAATGCATTTTTCCGCATTGTTGGAGGTTGATTTAGTTTAAATATATTTTAGACTAAATAATATTAATTAGTATAGTTTAATTAATAGCAAACATATGATTAAATCAAAACAAGGGTATATATGTAATTTGTTTATCAAACATATTTGAATGGAAATAAAAAAAAGAAACAAACATGAAATTCATTCAAATGGTTCATTTAGATGATTCATCTAGATGGAAAAACGAACAATCTCTAAAATCTGGATGGATCATTTAAATGGATCACATAGATGGATCAGCTGAATGGAGAAACGAACAGCCCCTTATTATCTGAACTGAAGGGTATGAATGAGACATAAAGGCGGGGCGTAATTGGAGAGGTGAGAGATGTGACAGATGTTACCATTCACCAAATATATTAATTAGCGGGACGTTATTTGGAAAATACCGCACTTGGCTCAAACAAAAAAACTCTTTTTTTTGTTTACTCTTGTATCACAGAACCGCTTTTATATGAAGTAGATATGTTAATTCCATACAGTCACACTCATTATCTCGTGTACATCTTTGGGTATGACTATATTGTATCACTAGCGTTAAGGTCATTTCCAACAATGACATCAAAATATCAAATTTGGTATAAAATCATCTTCAGCAAAACACCAAATTTGATACCAAACTTGATACCATCCTAATCAAATTTGGTATAAAGTGAATAATGTTACACCAAATTTAGTATAAAGTGAATAATGTTACACCAAATTTGATGTAATACTATTCATCACATAAAATTTTAAAATATATATTTTATTATATTTCCTTTAATAATATTTTGAATAACTATTATTCCCTATGTTTCATTATAAGTGTCACGCTACAGCTGTGCACACGGATTAAGAAAATAATTAATTTTACATATTTCATATATAAAAACACAGTTACCCATACACCTAACCATATTTTAACCAATAAAAAAACAAATTACATAATAAAATTAATAAATTTTGCATTGAAAATCAAAAACGACACTTATTTTATAACACAAAAAATTCTCTACAAGGACACTTAATATGAAACGGATGGAGTATTAATTAGTTCAAATTTATAACTAAACCTAAATATAATGTATTTTAAAATTATTTTACATAATTAAGTTTTTAATTTTCTAATAATAAATCATTAAATGTCATATTGTAAGAAAATATTTTATAATGTATTACTAACTAATACAAATTTTATTATAATATATTTATTATTTTGTTATGTACTTTTCATTTTTAATAGTTTTAAATTTTGATCATAACTAATATTTATATATAATAAATACATAAATATATAATATTGGTAAACCAAAAATAAATGTAAATAAATTTTATAAACAAAAAACTACAATATTTTAACAAATATAATAAATAAATGTGATAAAATAATTATATATCACTTACAAATAATTAAAACATAAAACGTTGTTTTTGTCTTTTAAATCATCCCGCCCATTAGGGGTAGGTGCTCGGGTCAAGTTTTTGGGTATTTCGGTATTGAGGTTTAAGACCCGTTCGGGTATTGTACATATCGGGTCAGGTTTAGATATTTTTAGCTTGGGTTCAGTTATTTCAGGTCGGGTTCAGATATTTAGATTTTGAAAGAAAAATTTTAAATTCTTCATTACTTAAGTTTTATGTATTTAAAATTTAATTATTAACTTAATTATTTTTAAGTGTTTAATAAGTTAGACGATTAATAAATTTGGAAGTAAATTATTGAAATAAAAATCTTTATTTTGGTTGTAATTTTCAACTTTTGGATGCAAATTTTGTTAAAATATGAATTAAGAAACTTAATATGCATTTTAAATGAGTAAAAAATCAAGTTTTTTAACAATTATATTTATATTATCTGATCTTAAACTAATATAACAGTAATATAGATATTTTTAATAAATTGAGACAAGTAAACTAGGAATAATAGATATATATACATATGACAAGATTCGTTTGGGTTCGGGTAATATCCGTTTGGGTTCGGATATCCAAACTCTCTTAACTCAATACTCCTTCGGATATTTTACTATTTTGGTTCGGATGTTTCGGGTCGGGTTTGCGTACAAGTTCGGGTATCGGGTAAAGTGCCCATCCCTACCGCCCATACTTGCCCTAGATGTGATTACTTTCCCGCTCACTAAAACATTTCTATTTTTTTTAGAAAAAAAAAACGCCTTAACTTCTCTCGTACACTTCATAGTTATTCTGCTGTAGCTCAACTAAACAAAAGTCTGTCTTTCCCCTGCATTCTCTCAGTTAACTAAAGTCTGTCTTTGTTTAGTGATCTTCCATGTCCGTTCCTCTTCATCGATCAACTACAATAGACTCATACACTCTCCGTTTAAATCCATGGTAACAATTTCGTCTCTCTTTACTCTAATTGCTTTGATTTCGATGCTATATTGCTTTTAAGCTAGGGGATTTTTGTTTGTGCTCATTTCGAAATTCATAAGGAGCAGGCAAAGGCTACGTTCAATGAAAGATCAGAAATTTTGAAGCAAGCCAGTGTGGAAGCATCCGAAGATACGAGTGTTGGTGGTGTGAAAATGAATCCTATATCTACAATAAGGTAATTGATAAATTAGTAGAGAGCAGAGCTGAGGAGGACGCTTTTTTGTTTTGTTTTTTTCTTTATTACTTCTCAATCTTAATCAAGAATTATTCTTGATTTTGCAGTGATTCATTTCAAAAGGAACCAAGCTTTGATCCTAGTAAATATCCAAAACCTGGAGAGTTCTTTGCTGCTTATGAAAGATTTCTATGTGAGTTCATAGCCCCTTATCTTCTTTTTTTATTATGTTATAACTATTATTCAAATATGAATTTTCTTGAAACAGTTGCTCAACGAGAATGGCAGAAGCAGAGTGGCACTTTTGTCAAAGAAACATACAAGTACCAACCGCCATCAAGGCGACCAGAACTTCCAGGGTATATATATATATATATATATCTACTATGAGAGCTAACTCTGTTATCTTTTTTTTTTTTCCCTTGATATACTCTTATAATTTCAAATTACAGGAAGAGAAGGGGTGTGTACAAGCATACTTATAAGGATAGTAATCTTAGTTCCCTGATTGCTTCAGAAAACGAAACCCTCCTTATTACTGAACAAAGGAACAATGTTAACACTGCAGACAGAGAAGTGAATGGTGAGTGAGCATTTTATGTACCATTTTTTTGTGTTAAGTCTTTGATAGCGTTTGGAGCCATTATTGTGTTCTGCAGATTCAATCCCTGGCGCAGACGAGAATAAATTAAAAGATATTTTGACTGAGTTGCTTGCATGCTCTCCGGATGAGCTTGAGGGGGATGCTGGTGTCAAGCTTTTGGAGGAAAAGTTAAAGATAAAGCCTATTGATAAAGAAATGCTTTCTCTCCCTGAACTTCCTGAGTTTCCTCCAGATCTCAGAAGAATGGAGTTTAAGACAAGGTCCATTGATAAGCAAAGGGTCAAAGGGATCAAAAGTGATTTCAACAGCTCTATGCAGAAGAGTTCCTGTGAAGTTGGTTCTGGTACTCATTTAAGTTCAGATAGGAAAACAGATAATCTCATTGATGATTACATCACTAAGCTAAATTTAGCCTTGTTAGAGGTGAATGTAGATATGCAGACGAATGAAAATGTGCTCATGAATGTAAGTGAAGCAAACAGAAACACTAGCAGACGAGAAAAGGATGCTTATATCAATGAAGAAACTGAACAGTTGGACAACATGGTTAGTTTCTCCTTGACTTTTATTTGCATCTCCTTGTTGGTCACATCTCTTTGTGGGCTTTGTTTGTGATATAGGCGATTGAATCTTTTGCCGTAGAAGAGGAAAACATACCATTTCAGCAAGGTATAATAATAACCTTTTCCACCTTCAAACTACACTGAAATCTCAAAAACTAAACTAGCAAACTAACATATCTCCTTACCATATACTTCTCCATTAAATTTCAGTTCACTTAAAAGTTGTGGCTCATATTTTTTTTTTCGTTATGTAGTTTTTTTGCTTACAGGCGAATCCTCGAAATCTCCAAACACAACTCTAGAACAATACATTCAAGAACAAGAGGAGCACATTCAAGAACAACATGAAGAGGAAAATGACAACACAGACACAGCTTCTGGACTTCAAGTTGCAAATTATCAGGTTAGTTCCCCATCATTGTCTATTCATCTTCATATTATACTTGATTTCATTGATTCTTTCTATGATTATCCTTTGCAAACCACTAACTGTTTTCTTAACTGTAGTATTATAGTGGATCCTTATTTTAAAATCCGTTTATAAAAGTAACTCACTGAACAGAATCGTTAGATTTTGTTATTATTTTCAGGTGTTGTTAATATGGTGTAAAAAAAATTATAGGCTAGTTCAAGTATGATGAGCTTACTTAACAAAACGAATATGAGAGTTGTTTATTGATTTTCTTTTCAGCAGGAGGAGGAGGCTCACAACTCTTCACCTAAACAAGCAAAAAAAACAACAAAGGTGAAAAAACTAACACGTGAGGCTAAAGTGTTCTCCCGCAGGAACAGCCTTGCAGGTTAACATAAAGACTTCCCAAAGAAATTGAACTCCATTCACTATTGTTTGAAAAAAAATATACTAAACTGTACTTTCTTTGTTTGCATATCATCGAAGGTGCTGGTACTAAATGGGAAAATGGTGTCAGAAGAAGTACAAGGATTAAGTCAAGACCACTTGAATACTGGAGAGGTGAAAGATTCTTGTACGGACGTGTTCATGAGAGTAAGTCACATATATTCACGTTAGATTCGGGTTTAATATGAGCTTCCAAATTAAAATCAGTTGGTGATTAGGATTGGTCATAACCCTTTATATATTATTTAAGTTTCCTTTGTTATACTTGCTCAAGCGAATTATATATTATTTAAGGTTCTTTTGTTATACTTGGTCAATCGAGTTAAGTACGACAATAATACCTAGTCTATATATTCTAGACTTCTAATTTAAAATCAATTGGTGATTAGTGGATTGGCCATAATCTTTAATATATTACTTAAGCTCTTTTTGATTCTCGGTGTGGATATATTATCCCTAATAATTTGTTTTTTTTTTACCACATCCATTTTAATCCTAGTGTTACCAAAATTCATTATTTTTTATGTTTATTTTGGAAGGTTTGCCTACTGTTATCGGCATGACTTATGAATCTCCGGGGAAGGGCAAAGGCGAAACGAATAAATTAATGAATTTGGGTATCACTAAACTGATTCTCTTTGTTGAACAAAGAAACTGATCTATCGATTAAACAAAACTGACTCTGTATTGTTTTTGCCTCTCATCTAAGGTGCTGGTACTAAATGGGAAAATGGTGTCAGGCGAAGTACAAGGATTAGGTCAAGACCACTTGAATACTGGAGAGGTGAAAGATTCTTGTAAGGACGTGTCCATGAGAGTAAGTCACATATTCGTTTTCTTTTTACCACATCGAATGTTACTCTAGTTCATTAAATGTTATCTTTGTTTTTGGAAAGGTTTGCCTACTGTTATCGGCATAATGTATGAATCTCCGGGGAGGGGCAAAAGCGAAGGCGAGCATTGAAGGTGAAATCATTTGTATCTGATGTATTACAAATAGCTGGTTGATTCAGTCGCCTTGTACTGAAGAACCATAATACCATATACTAATCCTAGGGGAAGAGTGATTAAAGCAATTCCTCTTCAGATTTTAACTCTGATGGATATGATTGTTTGGTGTTTGTTATTGTCACTTTGGGTTCAAAAACCTGTCACTCTCTTTGTTTTGGAACGTCAATGAACCTAGACTTTCAACTTTTAATTGGTTTCTATCATGTTGGTATGTCAAGTTGCCTTTTGTCATGGTGATTAGTCTTTGGTATCCTCTAGGGGCACTTTTTGTCCCCACCTCTCGCTTAAAAGCTGCACTATTCGAATCTCTTAATCAAATATGTTATATTAGTTATAAATTAGGGTTGGTTTTGTTTTATCCAAAACGAATTAACCAATCCAACATCCATTTGTGGGTCAACAAATTGAATTTTCTTTTAAGCGGTTTCTAATCTTCAAAGGTCTGACTTTGAACTTTAAAAGTACATGCTTACTTTTTGTTGTTGAGCACTCCTCCCGTTCCTTAAATATACCCTGTTACAAAAGATAATATTTTGAAAAATATTTGTTTCCACAAAATATATTTTCACATTCTTAATTCACTTTTTATTAAGTAATAAAGCTAAATTGTAATTTAAAAAAAAATTATGTTTATTGAATTTCAATTAGTTATAAGTTAGTAGAAAATAGTTAATCACAAAACAATACACTTATAACCAAAATTTAATATATTTTATTAATATATTTGAAAACTTTAAAACATAGTATATCTTTTTAAAACAGAGGATTTTAAAAACGCCGGAAGTAGATTTTATAGATATTCTATGCATATTAAAAATGTAATGAATATATACAATTAAAATAATTATTTATTTTTACTACACTTTCCAATAACTATCAATAACTAACAAACAATATATTTAATTAATTCATATATTTTCAATAAAAGTTTTTTAAATATATACGACTTATTAATATTAATTACTAAAATATTTAAAAATCTAAAAAATATTTATGAACACAAATTAAATCTAAAATTTCTATCTTTCGGAATGGAGTATAATATTAGGTTTTGATACTTTATATTCTCATTTTGATTAATCTATTTTATTTTAACTAAGATCAGTCTCAGTAAATTTTTAAATTCGATAACTTTCTTTTTTCATAAAAGAACCAAAACAAAAACGAAATATTGACTCTGATCCAACTGTCTAGGCATTTCTAGTTGACCTCAATAGTCGTCCACGGTCATGATCCACTTTTCTTGGATCGTGTCCTGGAAATTACATTATGTAAGTTGGGAATCTCCTTAGCAGGGTATGGTCCTAGTCTGTTTATAGAAGTCGCATCGTGACTTTTGTACCTTTCACCTTTTTAGGTAAGATGCCAAGAACTCACAAATTTGGAAAAACATAATAATTGAAACCCGACGATATTACTTCTTTTACACGCTTCAATTTTCCATGACTATAAATGCTACATTTGAATTTCGACTTGAGTAAATACACTTCTGGTCTTTGGGGACAATGACTGACAAGATACAAGGAGGAACCGCTCAAGTACTTAAAAATAAGATTATTACTCCTAAATATCTCACTAATCAAAAATCAATCTCACGAATCAGCAAATTAGATAACCTTGACGCAATGGATAATATAAGAAATGTATTAGCAAAACACAAGTTGATACTACTCACGGGATATCTACAATTTTTTGTTGTTTTCATGTGATGTCGACCGTACAAACAAAATACGAGCTAAGTACAATATATATATATATATATATATATATATATTTGTAAATAATTAAAATATCATGTCTCATATAGCTGACCAAAGATAAGTCTGAGCTGTACAATTTGGAAAAGTAAAACAAAACGTATGTATAGATGTTGCCCATGACGTATTCTCGATTTTTCTTTTGTTTTTACACAACATAATTCAGTTTCATGTATACTATTATTTAAGAAGTAAATTTGCTTAGTTGTCAACTTCTCATTGATTTTAGGTAAATTTGTTTATTTATTTTATTTAAATAATTTTATTTACAATTTATTATTTAAGAAAAAACGAATTTATATTAATAATATTATATTTTATAAAATATGTTAATTATTTTGTATTAAATTGTTATCTAAAAAATATATTTTTCTATTATAAAATTCAAATCAATTTTACTGATTGATTTGTAACTTCTCCATAACTTTTGTAATTTTTCTTATTTGTTATATTTTTAATAATTTTATGAATAATTTATCATATAATAAAAAAAAATTCTATTAATAGTATTCTTCTTTTAGAAAATAAGTTAATTCTTACGTGTTGTATTGTTATCTTTAAAATGTATTTTTATCCTAGAAATTAAAAATTAAGTTAAAATATTAATAGTTAAATATAAAGAAAGCAATGCTGATTTATCCATTTCTCGATGGTTTTATATTTTGTTTATTTATCATATTTTAATAATTTCATATATAATTTATTAAATAATAAAACGAATGTATACTAATAATACTAGATTTAAAAAAATAAGATAACTCTTATGTATTAGATTGTTATCTTGAACATATATTTTCTATTAGAAACTTTTAGTGAACTATCTGATTTGTAATTTCTCCATGATTTAGATAATTTTGATTATTTGCCATACTTTTAATAATTTCATATAAAATTTATTATAAAATAAAAATGAATTTATATTAAAAATTATATTTTGAGAAAATAAGATACTTCTTATGTATTATATTGTTATCTTGAAAATATATTTTTTATTACAGAAATAAAAAAATTAAGATAGAAAAATTATAATTAAAATAAACTAAAGTAACACATTTGTAAAAATATATTTTTAGTCGACAAAAAAAAATATATATATATATATGTTTAAAAATATTTTGGTGTGTGAGTGTTGTCATTTATAATTAATTTTAAAACATAAATCATAACTTAGTATATTGGTTTGAATTAATAAAATATAGATTAATAATAAATTGTACGAAAATTATGCCCGCATGTGCGGGCAAAACACCTAGTGTATAAATATATAACCAGTCAAAATAAATATACTCTCTACTGTTCTTTTATCAATAAGATATTCATTCGGTGTTATCAATAAATTATGTTATTTGTTTGTTTTCTTATCTATGATTCACGTTATGAATTATTGGTTTTTTTATATTGTGTTTGACTTGAAGAGCCAGCCGACGATGCTTTCCATCAGGATAGTGATACCTTATTGTTGGTTATTTTTCCAATTATTGTAGGCCTGAGGCCGTGATGGTTTGCCAACTTTTCTCAGCCAGATGCCTTTTATTCCACGGTTGTGCCCCATCGGATCACCTTACAGTTTCCAATACGTCTTGCTCTTCATTATTCAACTTACAGTAGAAATGTATACGGATTTGTTCATGGACTTAAGAAAGATGTGGTGGACCTAGAACGAATCCAAGTTGCACGGGACATGCCATTGCTCCGAATTGTTTCTATTGCAAGTGTCATATATGATTTGGGGGGGGGGGTGTTTAGACATCATATATATCTTAAATTACTGAAACTAATACTCAATGGTGGAAAGAGAAATTAAGTGTTTTAAGTTCAACGAAGAACAATCAAGGTACAAACTATATATACTTTTTATCAAAAAAAAATAATACAAACTATATATATACATATATAAAAATTATGTGCATGTGATATCTTTTGCAATAGGTATTTCAGTACCTGATAAGAATACTGTTAGAATAAATGTCGGTATAACTGAACGCTGTTTAATGTCATTCCGCTAGTTAAATCATCGTCAATATTTAACTATTTTTATCTTTATAATATATAGAAGATAACTCTAAAATAAATGTGAAATATATTCTAATGTATATTTTTTAAAATAGCAATTTCTAAATATAGAAGGATGTTATTTATAACTTCTATAAATAGAATAAAAAGTAATCTCTATTATATAAAAAGAAACAGAGATGAGTTTGAGTAGTTTTACCTCCAAATACTATTATATAAGTAAAATAGATGAGTTGGATATGTTCTTAGAGTGATTTAGCTTAATATACTAAATGAAAAAGGTATTAGGGATTTGCCATATTTTAGGGGGAAAAATAATGATGGGGAAAATAAAGAGAAGAGAGAAATAGGGTATGAAATTAAATAAGGTATTTTGTGTGTGTATGAAGTGCAAATATTCATATTCTTATGCATTTTGTGATATTTAATAGTCTTTTATTTGGTGTTTTGCAAATTAATATTTAGCACGTTGATTAACAAAATAGAACCATAAGAGAGACGTTAAAACATAGAACCATAAGATGAGTTATCATATATTAAATATTGAAAAATAGTTTATTAATTATATTTTTATATAAGAAAATAGTACAAGAAAACATGTATTCAGTTAAACTATAAGTACAAGTAAAATTGTCAAATTTGTATTCTGACGATTTATATAACTATATAAAGTACAGCCACACTATTTTTGTAAAAGATATCGTCATACATTTCTCAAGAACCACATGATAAATCATCATGTTTTAATTTATTGTACTCCCTCCGTTCGGTTTTATTTGACGTTTTACTGATTTTTCTTTGTGTCAATATACTTGACGTTCACATAATTCTATGCGATGAATGATGAAATATGACTATTTCTACCCTTGTATTTAATGCTCTCTAGTAATAATGATATAAGGTCAAGTTGATATTAAACACAAACGGGAAGGTTAAAATAGATATTACATTACATTTCTTAATTGATGTGCCAAGCTGTAAAACGTCAATTAAATCCGAACGGAGGGAGTATATTATTAAAAGAAACACCAGATCTTTTTTTTTCTTGTTTGTCATGTTAGAATTTGCAAATACTTTTTAATTTGTTAAAATGTAAATATCATTATGAATAATGAAGATTTGGTTACAAAATTACCTGAACTCATTCTGCTACAGAGCAAAATTGTGGACAAAAGCCCCCAAATTTTTTTAAAAAGACTCATGAACACACTAAAAACTAAAAAGAGACTCAAAAAGTATTTTGAGAATACTTTTGATAATATTCTTTGAGTGCCCAAAAAAAGAAAAGACGGTAAAAAGAATAATGAAAAACTGTTTGGGAAAGAAAAGGTTAAAGAAAGAGGAAGGGGGCCTCGAGTACTAAAAACTTTGGAAACTTTTCATCTTTCTATTTCCTAAATACTCCACCATTTTACACGTTTTGCCAGGTACGCTTAAAGATTTTAAATGAGTTCTGTTTAATATATTGGTTAGGTTACAGTTAATCAGAAAATATCGTTTTTTAAATAAAGGCGTTGTTTGAAAAAAAAACAAAATAAAGGTCTCCTGGCGTACATGTTTCTGGTCTTCGACAATCTGAAACTGATTGATAAAAAAATTAACATATTGAGATTATGTATACAAAACACGTTTGGATTTTTTTCTGAAAAATTAATTAAGAAAAAGTTGGAAAACACGTTTTCAGATTATTATTTACATTCAACACATGTATATTTTCAAATTCAAATCTTCATTGTGCCACAATAACAAGAGTCGCACAAATTATTAACTATGGAAAGCCTTTTATAAATAAAGCATTAATTATGGATGTTAGCATATAATTACCATTTGGGTAGCTATTGGTTAGCATGTCTTCCTGAATAATTAAGCCACATGGGATCACATGGACCTTCGTAAGCTAGCTATTTCGAATACTTTAACTACCATTATTCTGTCTTTTCATTTATTACGTAGTTATGTAGCATTTAGAATCCCCACAATGCTGAATTCATATTTTATTCCGTCTCCATTCAATCTAGTGTATCTAGAACATTTTCATTAACACGTTCCTTTGTTAATTTCTACACACTTTATTAATTATGGAAAACGGTAACGGTAGTTCCACGTCGAGACTCGAGCATCCGATCCTAACTTTTCCTTTCTTCGCGAATCCAACTGATAATTTCAAGACGCTAAGGAGTGGACTAATCCGTTAATTAACAATACACACAAGTTTGATCAATAAAAAAAAAACAATACACACGAGTAATTAGTTAATCTAAACCCTACGGATATCTCATCATACAAGTCCAAAATGTCTCGATTGGTATAACGTCTCCATCACGTAAACCAAAGCTGCTTACTGTTTTCTATTACCGGATCCGATCGGCACTATCTATGAAAAACGTAAACCTTACGTTTCTATATTAAATTTCACATTTTATTGGCTATAACCATTACTTCTTACTGGAATTATGTAAAAAATAAACATTGACACAAATAACTTAAACATATTCTGGCTATTCAGTATTATTTAATTAAGACAATAAAATATAAGTCCTATTATTACCGAATTATAATATTTCACTTTCAGTTTCTAGCTTCCAGAAGACCTATCTATCTCTATAAAGTGCCAACACTCTTCTCTCTCACATCATCATTCATATTCCAACCTGAATACTTCTGTCTGAAAACAATATATCACATCATCTTCTTCTCTCTTCGAACCTTGACACTTCTATGATGACCATGGAGCTTATCCCTGATCTTCCTGAAACTCTAGCCCGCGAGTGTCTTCTACGCACCTCCTACAAGCAGTTTCCTCTCATCTCCTCCGTCTGCAAAGTATGGAAGCGAGAGATCAGTCTCCCTGATTTTCTACAACACCGGAAAGCTTCAGAACACAGCCAGGAGCTTGTTGTCTTGTCTCAAGCTCGGGTCGACCCGGTTTCACAACTCGGATCTCGAAAAACCATCCCCACGCCAGTATACCGGATCTCTGTTCTCGAACCCGAGTCCGGTTTATGGACCGAGCTGCCTCCGGTTCCGGGTAAATCCAACGGGTTGCCTCTGTTTTGTAGGTTAGCTTCTGTCGGGTCGGATCTTGTTGTGATCGGTGGACTTGACCCGGTAACATGGCGGACTTCTGACTCTGTCTTCATCTTCAGCTTCTTGACTGCCACGTGGCGTAACGGGACGAGCATGCCAGGTGTGCCACGGTCCTTCTTCGCCTGCGCTTCGGACTCCGAACGGAACGTATTCGTGGCGGGTGGACACGACGAAGACAAAAACGCGCTGACGTCAGCTCTCATGTATGACGTGGCGGAAGACAGATGGGCTTTATTGCTAGATATGGGCCGTGAGCGAGACGAATGCACTGCGACTTTCCACGCTGGAATGTTCCACGTCATTGGTGGTTACGCCACGGAGGAGCAAGGGCAGTTTAGTAAAACCGCTGAATCCTTCGACGTCGCAACGTGGCGTTGGGGTCAAGAAACGAACGAGTTCCTCGGTCACGGGATGACTACGTGGCCCCCGGTCTGCGCAGCAGGCGAACATGGTGAACTATACGCTTGCTGTCGTCGTGATCTGATGGTGATGAGTGAAGACACGTGGCAGAAGGTTGGAGATATACCTGCTGACGTGTGCAATGTATCGTACATGGCGGTAAGGAGGTCTGGGAAGCTGGTCGTGATCGGTTCGGCTCGGTACGGCGAACCAAGCGTTGGGTATAATTGGGATATGGATAATTCTGGATGGGTAAAGCTGGAAACACATGAAAAATATGAAGGCCACGTTCAAGCTGGTTGTGTTTTGGAGATATAAAACGAATGGAGACGTCGTTCATGCGAAATGATGCAAGATTGGTCGGTTGGTTTCTCCTTGGTGTGACTGTACAAATATTCTGTTAGGATGTTAAAAAGGTTATATAAGCTTGAACTAAATTTACTGTTGATTGATTTTACTTTTTTGTGTGTGTGGTTGAAGATTGTTGTGATGCTACTCAAAGTTGTGGTGGACCTACTGTATTGGATAGTCTAATGTGGTTGAAATGAGCCCAATTAAGTTCTTGCTCTGTTTACCCACATAGGATGAAAGATTCAACGTTGGGTCCAATTCGTGTAAGATTTGAAATGAAACACCCTTCTAATTGATATATTATGAAGCCCTCTCTTTTCCTTCTCTGTCATCTTGGTTTTATATATAGGCATACAAGTATTCACTAAACTTTAGTAGGCTAGTCACAGATCAATTCTCTGAGAAGTATCTTTGTCTGTCTGAGTATAATTTATATGAGAGAAAATATCACCTATAGTCTTTGGGCGCTTTCACTAATGAATTCATCTGACTATTTTTATTCCAAAAATATGAATCAACAAGCATCCTCCAAATCTTTTTATAATTTCTGAAATATATCAATTTTTGACGTGAATGTTAGCTAATCTATCGGATTAATAGTCATATCTACTGAAATCCGAACAATCTGAAACAAATCAAGCTTATCTTCCTGTTTTCATACATGAAGATATCTAAAGTAATCTTCCCCAACTATATTTGAAAATAATAATACTTTCTTTCTAGCTTAAGTGTTCGCATTTCCACTCGGTCCTAAGATGGATCAAAGAAGAGCTACCTATGATTTTCTTCGTCACCAACCATTTCCGCAGGCTCAAGCATAGTCTATATCTTGGGTGGTCTGTTTTGTACCTTGAGTGGTCTGTTTTCATCAAAACACATGTGGGTTGATGTATTTTTAACAAACCACATGAATTTATAAAAACTAAGAAAATGTTACCAAAGCCCAACAATTTGGGTCAAACCCTACAAAATGTTCAGAGATAGAGGCCCACGTAAAACGATGACGAAGCCGAGAAGTAAAATAAACGGATATAATGGTTATGGCGGGCAATTCTGCAAGTGCCAACGAATATCTATGGAATATTCCAAATATGATCTGTCATTTCCTTTTCTTTGGATAGACAAACATTTGATGTTACATCAGAAAATGAGCTGTTGTTCTTCCAATTTTAATAGACAATTAAGAGTAAACATCAACTTTGAATTTTAAAAAAGCTAGAATACTTACTTTTTTCACAAAATGAACCTAGTTAGTAGTTAACATTCTGTCAAGACAAATGAAGAAACAAGTTACCCGAACTTGTGTCGGTGACAGACCGAATCAGAGGAGCTGTTCAGACAGATAGCTGGAACGTTAGATCAGAGGGATAAACACTACCAACCAATCCAAGGGTCTTGATCTATTTGAGTTGGTAATGGACCCCAACTTACCCGCAGGAATATCATGGGACCGCTCCTTAACTCTTGCAAGGTCACTTGGTTTGGTAGTGTACTAGTGCTGTGTGATAACATACAAATTAAAATAAAATAAAAAAACTAGATATTATACGTTTTCTAGATGCCAAAGCATCTGACACTGCTCAATGGATATAAAAGAATAAATGAAAGGACCACATATTCTTATAATATACTGTAATTCACGTCAATCTATCACAAACCACCATTCAACATTTTTACCTATAAACAAATGACCCATCCGTCACTCATTTTTAGTAAACACAGAAGTTTTTTTTGAGTAGTATATTTTCTTCTTCCGAACTACAAGATCAAATGTTTCGTAGAGTTTTCCACGATTTTTAAAAAGACAGACTGATAGGATGTCACCATTTTAAGGCATTGTCAATATAAACATAGAGGTGTCACCAAACTTTGATGAGCTTTGTTTGCCTATATCTGAAAACTTTATAATTACAACAGCGATGACGATCACTTCTTATCATAATATAATCATGGAAAGTCCAAATTATGTTACTTTAATTAGCTGATATTGGTTTGAATTCTACGTTTACATCCCATCACAATTGATAACCGATCCCATATGTATATGATTAAATAATTTATAAAAGAAACCAAATCGTGAATGAAAGATATAAGTCCTAATATCAGCCACATAACGCGGAAAGATTTTGTTACGTGGTAATTTTGCAGATTGATTAGCAACATGCAAGAGGGAACAAAAGATAAAGCATCGAGTGGTCACTACTCACTGATACAAGAAAAATAACTAATGCTACAAAAATCCATAGAAATAAATTAGTTTAGGTAAAGATATTTTAAAAAGATTATTTATCCGACTGGAAAGTTGCACACCATTCAATACACACACATAAATACGTAGCCGCTCGCAAAGGCCTCCGCTATATCCTCTCACAGTCACAGCTCTTACTCTTTGCGAGCAAATGTCCACATACGGTAGAGTGCACCGTATCTTTATGTACACCTTCTCTTTCGTATGAAGATGAACTAAACCTCATAGAAGTTTTGGAATCAAAACCTAACCGAACCTATTGCCAACATGAGTTTAGTAAACGTCGAATCAAGTTGCTAAAGTACACTGTACCACTATAAAATCGTCCTCCTAACACTAATCCGAACACGAGTTTAATAAAATTTTATTTCAAAAGTTTTAGACCTTTTGGATCTGATTGGTAATAACTATAGTTTTAAAAATTTTACTGTACGAAAAAAGTTGTAGATTTTTTTAATTCATGATCTTATACATTTTTAAAATTAGTAAATTCTTATTTTTAAATAATACAAATTGGTACTAAAGGTAATTCCAATCCAAAACACAAAAAACAACATACTAATCAATCTGCACACATTTTATATACTCATAAAAGTAAATATATATTTCATTAAATTACATGTATTTTTGTTTTATTTGGCTAACATAAAAATTCACTATGTTTTCGTAAACTGGAGTATTGACTATGTTTTTTTCATTTTTAGTCATAATATTTACCATTATTTATAAATTGATTTTTCACTGTTGACCTCATATTAAAAATTTGAATGGGTAAAAATGTTTTTATCCTAAATAAATAGTTAGATAATATATTTAAAATATAAACTATATAATATTAATCATGATCATTATCTAGACAATAATATGTATTTTGTTATAATTACAAAAATATTTTCTATCATGCAGTTAAGTTTTTTAAAAAGAATATGAATCTCTCTCTATATATATTTATCATGCATGTCGTGAGAAATATCTGTAAAGCAAAACACCTAGTTATAAAATAATAGTGAAATGATTTTGCTGCCAAAATAAGAATTTATCAAATGATTTAACCATATCCATATCATGACTGTACACCGAATCACCCTATGAAAATCATGACGAGGATTTTAATGATATATAGTTAGTATAAATACAATCAGTCTCTATAAATACTCGAATATACCATGGATATAAACATAATCTTCACCAAACTAATTAATTCTAATTAAGTGTAAAAAAAAGCAAATAATTAATGTACACCACGTAGACGATTGGCTACAAAATCATACGAGCGCTAATCCTGTAACTCCACGATCGGACGGACATTAGCACATTGATGCGTGCTTAAGCCCTAGAATCAACGGCCAAGATGTTCGCAAGTTTCAGGGGTGTAGCGTAAAGAACTGTGCAACTAACCGTACCGGATTCGGAATAGAGTATCCAAGAGAAACAGAGACAGTGTTATAAAACGACACGATATCCTCATTTCATCTTCATCAAAAACACTATCTCATCTCTCTGTGTTGTTTGTTGTCTCTCTATCGTTGTACGGAGAGATGGTAGCGTTAGCTTTTCTTCCGGAGCTATGGACTGAGATCCTTATCCCTGTCTGCGCGGTGGTCGGCATCGCTTTCTCGCTCTTCCAATGGTTCATCGTCTCTCGCGTGAGAGTCTCCGGCGACCAAGGCGCGTCGTCTTCAGGTGGTTCTAAGAACGGATACGGAGATTACCTTATCGAGGAAGAGGAAGGAGTTAACGACCAGAGTGTTGTCGCTAAGTGCGCTGAGATTCAGACAGCTATATCTGAAGGTAAGAAGATCTCGGTTTTCAGATCTCACTGTTGTTGTCTTAGATCTAGCTAGTTTAGTATGGAATCTAGTCTTGTCTGAATAGTTGAATATTTTTGGGATCTGATTTGGTGTGTGTGTTTGGGAACAGGTGCAACTTCATTCCTGTTCACGGAGTACAGATACGTTGGTGTCTTCATGGTGTTCTTTGCTGCTATTATCTTTGTCTTCCTCGGCTCTGTGGAAGGATTCAGCACAGAGAACAAGCCTTGCACTTACGACGATACCAAGACTTGCAAGCCTGCGTTGGCGACTGCAGCTTTCAGCACCATTGCTTTCATACTCGGTGCAGTTACATCTGTTCTCTCTGGTTTCCTTGGGATGAAGATTGCCACGTACGCAAACGCTAGGACCACTCTGGAGGCGAGGAAAGGTGTTGGAAAGGCGTTTATTGTTGCGTTCAGGTCTGGTGCTGTGATGGGGTTCCTTCTTGCCGCTAGTGGTCTGTTGGTGCTTTACATTACTATTAATGTGTTTAAGATTTATTATGGTGATGACTGGGAAGGTCTTTTTGAGGCTATTACTGGTTATGGTCTTGGTGGGTCGTCCATGGCTCTCTTTGGACGTGTTGGTGGTGGGATCTATACCAAAGCTGCTGATGTTGGTGCTGACCTTGTCGGTAAAATCGAGAGGAATATTCCAGAAGACGATCCAAGGAACCCAGCTGTAAGTACTATTAACTGTGTATTATAAGACACTGCTTTTCTTTGTTTTTTTACTTAATGTTGTCGGTTTACTTACAGGTTATTGCTGATAATGTGGGTGACAATGTTGGTGACATTGCTGGTATGGGATCTGATCTCTTTGGTTCCTATGCTGAAGCTTCATGTGCTGCCCTTGTTGTTGCTTCCATCTCTTCCTTCGGTATCAACCATGATTTCACTGCCATGTGCTACCCACTGCTCATCAGTTCAATGGGAATCTTGGTCTGTTTGATCACAACTCTCTTTGCCACTGATTTCTTTGAAATTAAGGCTGTTAAGGAGATTGAGCCAGCGTTGAAGAACCAACTCATCATCTCAACTGCTATCATGACTGTTGGAATTGCTGTTGTGTCATGGGTTGGCTTACCGTCTTCCTTCACCATTTTCAACTTTGGAACACAAAAAGTGGTCCAGAACTGGTAATGACCCTTATCTCTTTGCAAATAGATTGTATGGTTGCTTGAATTTCTCTAATTATGGTGCATAATTTGGATTTTCAGGCAGCTATTCCTGTGTGTTTGTGTTGGTCTTTGGGCTGGACTCATCATTGGTTTCGTCACTGAGTACTACACTAGCAACGCCTACAGGTAAGAAATTGCTTTCAAAATCTTTGATTACTATCAATAGGATAAACTTTAATGTCCTTATTTTCTTGCAGCCCTGTGCAAGATGTTGCAGATTCATGCAGGACTGGTGCAGCCACCAATGTTATATTCGGACTGGCTCTTGGTTACAAATCCGTCATTATCCCAATCTTTGCCATTGCTATCAGTATCTTCGTTAGCTTCAGCTTCGCTGCTATGTATGGTGTTGCTGTTGCTGCTCTAGGGATGCTCAGTACCATCGCCACTGGTTTGGCTATTGATGCTTACGGTCCGATCAGTGACAATGCTGGTGGTATTGCTGAAATGGCTGGAATGAGCCACCGCATCCGTGAAAGAACCGATGCTCTTGATGCTGCTGGAAACACCACTGCCGCTATTGGAAAGGTACATGGCCATTCTAATAAACCGCTTTATGCAGCTTTGGTTACTTGTTTGAATTGCTAATGCTGATGGTGCCATATAGGGATTTGCTATTGGCTCTGCTGCATTGGTCTCCTTGGCTTTGTTCGGTGCCTTTGTGAGCCGTGCAGGAGTCCACACCGTAGATGTCTTGACCCCAAAGGTTATCATTGGACTGCTTGTCGGTGCCATGCTTCCTTACTGGTTCTCAGCCATGACAATGAAGAGTGTGGGAAGTGCAGCTCTTAAGATGGTTGAAGAAGTTCGCAGACAGTTCAACACCATCCCTGGACTCATGGAAGGTACCGCGAAACCAGATTACGCCACATGTGTCAAGATCTCCACCGATGCTTCCATCAAGGAAATGATTCCTCCTGGTTGCCTTGTCATGCTCACACCTCTCATTGTTGGTTTCTTCTTTGGTGTTGAGACCCTCTCTGGTGTTCTCGCCGGTTCCCTTGTTTCCGGTGTGCAGGTATGTATTCTCTTCTCTGTTCTCTTGTGAATTAACTTAATGGTATTGAACATATGCTCATTCACGTTCTTGTTTTATATTAACAGATTGCCATTTCTGCATCTAACACTGGTGGTGCCTGGGACAACGCCAAGAAATACATTGAGGTACAGAACTGATTCAATCCATTTTTTAAGAGATGGAATCAAAATCCGTAAGTATTGAGAGTTGTTTTTGCAGGCTGGTGTATCAGAGCACGCAAAGAGTCTTGGACCAAAGGGATCAGAGCCACACAAGGCAGCTGTGATAGGTGACACCATTGGAGACCCATTGAAGGATACCTCAGGACCTTCGTTGAACATTCTGATCAAGCTCATGGCTGTTGAGTCTCTTGTCTTTGCTCCCTTCTTTGCCACTCACGGTGGTATCCTTTTCAAGTACCTCTGAACTCATCCCTGAGTGAAGATGATCATGATGATGAAGAAGAAGTGATGGAGATTGATTCAAAACTCTCCTTTTTTACCATTCTTGTTTTCGTTTTGCGTAGGTGGTTAAAATCAAAACCTGTTTTTGTTGATGAGGGCTCATTTAAAGAACCAAACCAAATGATGTTTCTCTCTCTCTCTATCACTTTTTGTGTTGTCTAGAATTTAGAAATCCACCAAGTATTTGAGACTTGTTTTTTTAGCCGTCGAGATTCTGTTTCTTATATTGTTTTCGTCTTCAACTTTCATAACATTACTACACACAAACAATAGATGGTAAATCACACAACTTTAGTTTCCCTAAGACCCTCGGCTCCAGCCACAATCTCCAGCAACTCCCAGTCTTACTGTAAGCCACAGTCAGAATCCTCTTCAGTTCAAGCGCACTATCAGTCAACACAAGACTCCTTTTATCTTCAATGGTAACAGAGTGTGAATCACAGGACCAGACTTCACCACAAAAACTTTTGTATACAGAATTATACGGTAAAACCGTAATCAGAAAGACGATGAACAGTAACACTTGATCGGATGTTCATAAAACACCAAATCAACACTCAAGTCTTTTATAGCTCATTTCCTCCGTAACAACCCCTATGACGTGGCATCTCTTTTCCTGTATCACAGAAGCTCAACATCATCAACCTCCTCGCTCACAAACAATGAAAACACATCATCTACAATAACTTGAGCTTCTTTCGTTTGAGAAGACAGAGTTGATTTGAGGGGAATAAAATAGTAGAGAAAGAGAACTTGTGGGTGCTTTTTCCTGATTATAATGTTTTACGAGGATTTATTACACAACAGAAGTGTGAAGAACGTGGGAAGAAGCATTAAAGTCAACTTGAAGACAAATTCTTTTAAATTTACTTTACAGTCCTCGTGGTTTTGGTATTCATAAGATTCGATCTTCTTCCTCATATAGCTCCTCCTCTTCTTCCACAAGTTAAGACTTCTCAAAATCAGCACTAATCTCCTTCTCCACCACAACCACACAATGCTTCTCCATTTCTCCCCCACAAAACCCCTCTTCTTCCCACCCAACCCCCGCCGGAACCCACCCCTCTCTCCTCCCAAATCCCTCCGCATCCGAGCCATCGACGCGGCCCAGATCTACGACTACGAGACCCACCTAAAATCCGAGCACATAAAATCCACCTCCCTAAAAATCGCCGTCCTCGGGTTCGGAAACTTCGGGCAATTCCTCTCGAAAACCCTAATCCGCCACGGCCACGACCTAATCACCCACTCCCGCTCCGACTACTCCTCCGCCGCCTCCTCGATCGGCGCCCGCTTCTTCCACAACCCCCACGACCTCTGCGAACAGCACCCCGACGTCGTCCTCCTCTGCACCTCCATCCTCTCCACCGAGTCCGTCCTCCGCTCCTTCCCCTTCCAGCGCCTCCGCCGCAGCACCCTCTTCGTCGACGTCCTCTCCGTCAAAGAGTTCCCCAAAACCCTCTTCCTCAAGTACCTCCCGAGAGAGTTCGACATCCTCTGCACTCACCCCATGTTCGGACCGGAGAGTGGTAAACACTCCTGGTCGGGTCTCCCCTTTGTCTACGACAAGGTGAGGATAGGGGAGGAGGAGTCTAGGGGAGAGAGGTGTGAGAGGTTTTTGAAAGTGTTTGAGAGTGAAGGGTGTAGGATGGTGGAGATGTCGTGTGAGGAGCATGATAAACATGCGGCTGGGTCCCAGTTTGTTACGCATACGATGGGGAGGGTTTTGGAGAAGTTTGGGGTTGAGTCTTCGCCGATTAATACGAAAGGGTATGAGACGTTGCTTGATTTGGTGGAGAATACGTCGAGTGATAGCTTTGAGCTTTACTATGGGTTGTTTATGTATAATCAGAACGCGCTTGAGCAGTTGGAGAGGTTGGATATGGCGTTCGAGAGTATTAAGAAGGAGTTGTTTGGGAGGTTGCATCAGGTTTATAGGAAGCAGATGTTTGGTAGTGGTGGTGATGGGAAGAGAAGTGAGCAGAAGTTGCTTAATAATGGTCTTGGTGTTCCCATGAAAGAGGAGTCGTCTTCATCATCTTGATTCTTAAATTACAATGTTTGTTTGTGTTTTTGGTTATGAATAAAAATGAAAGTTATATCGTTTTTTGGGAAAGACTCTTGAGTGTTTGTGTTCATGTCGGTCATGAAAAATTTGGTAATCATTATGCTCTGTGTAATTATCTTATTCACGTAATATGAAAGCACAGAGAGTGAAGTGACGTATAGAATCTATATGCGTCAAGATCGACTAAATATAGTCCCATACGTAAAGAAGCACTGATAACAGAACATTAAGTAATACCTACCGAAAGAAGTTGGAGTTGACAAGTGGATTGAAGCGGTGTTTTCTTCGATAAGCCTTATATAGTCTGTAAGTATATCGATCTCTTCTGGTCCTTGTATATACATAGCATGAGAACTGTGCTCTTCTTCGAATTAATTGCAGAAGATACTGTAAATAAAGCTTTTCAAGATTTGATTTGGACAAAAGAGGCTTTTCTATGTGGTCAGCTTTTGGTATGGTTCTAAAAATTGGTTGACTAGACAACAAATCAGCAAACATTTTCCTAAAATCCAATTTATAAGATTCAAACTAATTTAAACTGTTTTAAATTGATTAAAATTAATTTAAATCTGTTAAATTAAATAATACTCCCTCCGTTTCATATTAAGTGTCATTGTAGAGAATTTTTTGCGTTACAAAATAAGTGTTGTTTTCGATTTTCAATACAAAATTTATTACTTTTATTATGTAATTTGTTTTTCTATTGGTTAAAATATGGTTAGGTGTATGGGTAACTGTGTTTTTATATGGGAAATATGTAAAATTAATTGTTTTCTTAATCCGTGTGCATAGCTGTAGAGTGACACTTATAATGAAACAGAGGGAGTAATGTTATTATAAATCCGTAAATTTGTTTAACTTTTTTTAATTGGATATTTAATTTTTAATAATTCATCAAAATAATTTTATAATTAAAGCAAAAAACTAAAATATCGTGTGTATATATATATATATATATATATATATATATATATATTAAATAAAAACTTTGTTAATATCCAGATCCTGCCTGACCTGAATAGTCTGACTAGTCTCTAATTATAATTACCATCTAGCAATTTTTTAGACAGATTTCTTTTGACAATCCATGCAAAATTTTTTAGACAGATTTCTTTTGACAATCCATGCAAAGTTCGTGTTTTTGGGCTGAATTCTCTTTGTTTATTTACTAACGTGAACCAACGAAGACGGTCAAAAGAAACTAATCACTCTTTGTAAATGCATGTAGATTCTAGCTATCCTCTGAACGAAAATCTCTTGTAACAAGAAACAACTTTACTACTAAATTACGGTGAATATGTTACAACTAAACATGTCAAGAATCTCTGGATCATAAACATTTCTACCAAAAAGACAGAAAAAAAGAGAATCCGAGAGGCAGGTGAAATCTATGATCAGATCATCTCTGTGGCTGATCAGAAGCAGAGGCTCCAACGGATGGTGCAGCCACTGCACCACTTGCAGACCCGTTCTCAGAAGGTGGAGCCACTCCCCATTTACCTTCAGACTCAACTGGTTCGAATATATGAACTCCTCCGTCTGAGAGACCAACTGCAAACATGTTTGGTTCTTGCGGATGTGCCGCAATCACCAGAGGATGTACGTTGGAGTTACTGCACAAAATGAACAACAACCAAAGCTTCATCAAGATTTACTCTGTTTTCTTGTTGAAGAAAATTCAAGATTACTCTGTTGTTTTTACCTGAGACTAGCTGGTAGATACGCAGAAGGGTTGACTCGGCAACGCAATCTTAGATTTGAAGAGGTAAATACACAGATTGTTGCATCCATAAAACTTGCATAGACTAATTGGCTATCACATGAGAACGTAGCATGAGTGATTGGTGCTGATGATTCTCTAACCGGCCACTGAAACAAGTCAATACAATCATTAATCAAATGCAATACATTAGAGATCTTGGAGAGAGATAAAGAAGAGGACTGTAATTAAGATACCTGTTTCATGCATTCGAGTTTGGTTGTTTCGTAAATAGCAAGCTGTGTCTCGTGCACCACAAGGAAGTGAGTTTGATCTTGGTGAAACTGAACACGCGTGTCTGAAGGTGCAGTGTTTGGTCTTCCTTGTGGAAGTGGCAGTACCTTGCTTCTTTGCTTCTCCCATCCATCTGTGTTCCATACACAAAGCTGCAAACAAGAAGAGAATAAACAGACTGTTGATCTTATTCCCATAGATTCTCAAACATGGCTTGAAGGCGCGAACCTGAGCATCAGCTCCAGATGAAACCAGAACATTTAACACATTGGAGAAGGCCAGACCAGTTATTCTCTTTGAATGACCTTTAAGCTTACTCTTCACCTGCATGATCGATCAAACAAGGAGTATGTTGACAATCATATCAACAAACAAAACAATTCTTCTATGGAGATTTTGATTCATTACCTCATCAACACGGACGTTATAAATCTGAATAGTACTATCATCCATTCCGATAGCAATGATGTTGTTGTCTTGAGGATGGAAAGCTAGAAAAGTTGCAGCAGGTGGTGGTGGCATGAAAGTAGCCATCGTCTGCACATTATTAGCCAAGAACAGCAGTCAGTGAATCAAGATGCATACACAAAACATCAACCGTAAGCTTATAGTGTGTCCACATTACCTTAAAAGTCATCATGTTAAATAAGGAAATCTTTCCACCGGAAGCTGACATTACATAGGAATCATTCTTGGATAAAGCAAAACAAGGTACAGCTTCCTCAGGGTTGTTTTCAGCAGCGTCGTTAGTCATGAGGATCCCACTTGCTGGTTGCCATTGCTGAGGTGGTAAAGTAGCTGTCGCCTACACGAATGAATCACATAAGTGACAATTTATCAACTATTTGACCAAAAATGTCAGAGAGAGTCAGTAACTTTTACCTTTCCCGTTGCGTTGCGCTCATTCCTCTGCCATTTCCATAGAAGATGAATAGCGTTTGATGCCAAGGCCAAGATAGCGTTTCCTGAGTTGGTGAAAATCAATCTTGATATCTGTAAAAAGTTATCGGTTTAGTAGAAGAACAACAATATATACATTGATTAGAAAATGTATATTGATATACCTTAGCGACTCTAAGATTCTCAGGGAGTCTCAGTGACCTGCATTGAGAAGGCTCGTTGACTTCAGTAAGCTTCCATATCTTAGACTTATCATTTGATTCCTCTGTAATCACTGGCTTCACATCCACCATATTCCTCGTATCTCCATTCTATAAAAAGAGAATATGATGATGAATGATGAAAAGATGAAATAGAAATGAGTGAAAAAACAGAGAGAATATTTATTACCATTCCTTGGATGGAAACAACATTGGCAGATCGATCTGCTGCAGCACTCGTAGCAGCAGCTGCAGCTGCTGCTGAAAGACTGTTTATCACAGGCTGCAAATGTAGAAAATGAAGTGTTAAAGAAAATTTTCAAATTGCGTGTAAGTAATCTAAAGCTTAGTACCTTAGACGATTCAGATGAAACGTTCTCAAAAGTGTGCAATAGTCTTAAACCATCTGAGTTTGCCATAACCTTAATCACATTCTCATTTCCAGACACAGCCAAGAGAGAGCCTTCCTTGTTAAACCGGATACGCGGGCTTGCCTGAAGACCTCCATCACCATCAATAGCAGTTAAAAGCTGTACATTGTCCATATCCCAGAACTTGATGGAAAAGTCATCACCAGCAGCTAGATAACGGTTTTTAGTAGTATCAAACTGCACAACACCGAGAGAACGCTTGTGGAATCCTTGATAAGTTCTTTTAACAGCTCCTTCACTTTCATTCCACTCAACTATGTAAGACTCTCCATCTTTACTCGTCCCACAAGAGAATAGCCTAGTTCCATCTGCACTATAAGCCATTGTAGTGCACCAGCGACCAGGTGCATCGTAGTCAACTCTAGATCCCATGTTATCATATAACCATGCCTTAATTTTCCCATCTAGTGCTGTAGAAAATATGAACTTGAAGACAAGAAAACAAAATGTCAGAAAACATGTAAGGGAAGGGAGGGAGATCAATGGATACTTAGTTAAGCTTACTTGAATGTTTTCCTTGTAGTGAGGACAAACAGAGTAAACAGGAGCTTCATGGCCTTCAAATGTATGTCTTTTGACACCAGTTGCAGCGTCCCAGACCTTGATGGTTTTGTCATCACCACAGGTTATCACACAGAGTTGCTTGTTTGGAGTTGAGAAGGAAATATCATTCACACCACCAACGTGAGCATCAATCTGAAATAATCACAATATTACAAAAAAAATCTCCACAGCACAAAAAGAGAAGCTTGTCAATGTTGTAATAAATACCTCAAGGTGTTGCCTCATGTCTTCACCTCCATGATAAGAGTATATTTGCACAATATGTCTCGAGTAAGCAACTCCTGCATTTGATAACGTTAAGGCAGAGTTATATGGTTGCATTCTTAAGGACATATTACTTTAAATGTGATATTCTTTACCGAATAGGGAACCGTCATGGCTCCATATCACACGGTTAACAGAAACGACAGGTTCTTTCACCAGAGCAGCCTGAAGACACAAGTAATTTAGTTGCTAGAGATTCATAACATTTATACCAATATTGAAATGTTGTTTTTGGTATGCATAGGGCACCTGTAAGGGCATTGAACATTTACTTATATCCCACACTTTGAAGGTCTTCTGTACTAATCTTTCTCGAGAACCAACTTCCCATAGCCCTATGTCCCCTACATTAGTACCAACTGGTACAACGATGCAAATAAAATTTAGAACAACTCTGATGATTACTGTTATTATTACATGGAAGCTCATAAACAGACCTAGAAGCAGAGTCTGTTTAATTGGATGGAAGTCCATGCTCATTGGAGATGAGCCCTGAGTCAAAGTTCTTGCAACTGTCTTGGGCAAGTCATCAGGTGCTTTGAAAGCTGGACTGTGGCCATGAGCCTGCCCTTGAAATGACATTGGTAACATGTTGACACCTAGATTAACCTCGTCAGAGATTCCCATAGGCCTTGTTCTTTTTGAGACATGTTCAGATTCTGCTGACGGGTAGTCTAAAGCAGCATTAGTTGGAGTTCTCGGGTGCTTCAATGCCGCTGCACCAAAATAGGTAAGGATCTCCATTATAAGCACATTGCAAATGAAAGAAACACACATTTGGTAAAGCAAGTAGTACCTGGGATAGATGGACCACCAAGAGCAATGGCTCCTGCAGAGACAGCTGGATGTGGGACAGAGGATGGACTAGACATCCAACCAGCAAGAGGAGTTGGAACCGGTGAGGCCGTTGGTTGAAATGGCTGGAGAGATAGATACATTCAAACACTTAACCTCAGGAGAAAGAGTGAAAAGAAGAAGATAGAGACTTATAGCTTACCCCGTGTGCACCTAAAGGAGGAAACCCTCCAGCTTTTGGTAATCCACCAAGCAGCTGATTGCTCACAGGAGATGGATCACGTGCACCATTTGGAGGACCACATGAATGATCAACAAAAAGAGTCTTTATATCCGGATTTGGTCTTGGGTTTTTACAAAGCTGATGTTGCCAATTTAAGCTGCAAAGTTATGCATTAACAAAGGAAGTTATGAGTTAATGCCAACAACTTGAAGTGAATAAAGACAAAAGAAATTAAACCTCTGGTTGATAAGAGTCCTAAGCCTTGAGTTTCTAAGAGTAGGAAACTGCAGTTTATCACGGAACAAAGGATTAGCCTCAATAAGCTTCTTGAGTTCCACCAACATGATTGATCTTGCTGACTTGGTGTCCCCATACTTTGATAACTGTTCATTCTCCCTAGAAAAGTTCATCAAAACACTTTAATCCTCTGTCTTTTGCACTGCATTAACCAAATAAGACTTTTACCTGAAGTTCTCTAAGGTCAAGAGCTGAGTTATTTCTTTGAAAAGCTCCTCGTTAAATGTTGAAAACACTTTCAAATCCTTCACTAGTATCTCCACCGCCTTGGGACGATCATTCCTACCCAAAAAAAAAGACCACAACTCAAAACTCTTTTTCTTTTATAATTAAGTAAAACCAAAGCTGCATCACTACTTACTTATCCAAAGCCTCGAGATACTTCTGCTTTCTTATCTCAAAGAATATCTTCATTGAGTATCTATTATCATCTACTTTAGTGAAACCAGAGAGATACTTCTCAACCTCATCCCAGTTTCCACTATGCACCTCATCCTCAAAGTACTTCATATTGAAGAAAAATCCAGATTCTTGTTCAAGCCTTTTAACATAACAAAAAATCACAAAACCAATGAGCATTATAACCAACACAAGTTGCAAAATTAGATCAAAGGAGGAAAGATTTACTTGTGAACAGTCTCTTTAAACTTCTCTTCATCGAGAAACTGTAAGATCAGGAACACAAGCTCTCTACTAAGAGAAGACATTAAACTTTTTTTCTTTTCAACTCAGATGCACAACACTATCACCAGATCTGCAACATTTACAATGGCTACAATTAACATAAAGCTCAAATCTAGCTTTCGTTCCAGACTACATTAAATTAAATTAATAAATTTTATCTTAAAAAAAATTATCCATAAACTTCGCATCTCTGCAGATAACGATAAATCAGTAAAAAAAATTAAATATTTCCTGGAATTGTCCATGTAATTAAATTAAATAGCTTAAAAAGAGATTCTTTTTAACCATAAAGGGTAGAGAAAGAAAAAACTAGATTCCATTAACAGAGACGAAGCTAAGCTTACCATGAAGAAAGGAAGAAAGAGATCGATGAAGAAGAAGAAGAAGAAGAAGACCAACGTTTTCTCTCTCCACAAGCGAATTGATTTTGGACTCAAGAAAGAAAAAATAAATAAAGCTTCTTCCTTTTTATTTCTCTCTCTTCGAGATGTATAAATACGGACATTAACACTTGCAGAAATAAGAGAAGATGACAGATCATTGGATGCTGATAAGTGAGATAAGCTATCACTCTAAGAAAAGCTAACTGAGTGATAAGTAAAAGCGATTATCGATAGGAGTTAATCGGATACATTTCTCGAAGTTATCAGCTCGGAATATTAGTTGCCAGCTGTAGTGCATGAACGTGTGATCGTCTACGTCACATGGGGTTTTATACTTATCTGGACAACCGTTGATTTCGTATGATGGCGCGGAGGACGGTGATCTGACGGTTAGAGTTTCATTCAATGTGTCAGAGTTGTCTCAGATCCCTCGTGGCACGACAAAAGCTTTTATTAATGATGAGTTTTTTTTTAACCCTCGTGTTTGACTATTATTTACGGATATGACATTGAGAGGCAATTGCCTCTTCAGATGCGGTACTCTCACATCGAACATCACGTGATGTGGAAATGTTCAACTCGTAATGGAAAGATGGGAATAATTTATAATTATTTTTAATATTTACAGTATTGCTGATTATTTTCTGTTCCAACATATTGAGCCTATTGAATTATCATTATTTGTTATAAACTGTTCTTAAACCTTTTAAATATGGTGTAAGTTTAGTGTATGATTGGTTATGCAGATTTCTAATAAAATACAGGAAAATAAAATAGAGAGATTTGAGGGATGGTGGGTGGTTCTTTGCTTTGATAGTGTATATTAATAATAATATGAAAAAGAGTCCGGCCAAAAGCAATGCAGGTGGGTTCCATCAGAGGCGTGTCCGTCCAAAAGTCTCACTCTCACGAGATAAGTGACGCATTGATGAAGCTCAGCCCTAACTTCCCAATAGTACTATTTTTAACTAATTATTATCATATTTTTAATAAACTGTTAGATGATAAAATACACCAAGTACATATTCTCTCTATCGAACTCAACTTTTTAAAATTTGTATTTACCAACTATTTTGTGTTTTTTTTTCTCCCTTTACTCGGGCAGCTAAAATGGTTTCTTAGTCCAACAAAATGGTCTAAACTACTGCCAAAATATATTTAGTAGGATTTGTTTTGTTATATCGATGTAGTGCTTTTTTATGCAAAAGACAATACTACTAATAATTAATAAAATATTGACAGAAAAACTAACAATTAATTGAATAAAATAACAGCAAGAATAATGATAAAATAAATAAATATATCTGAAGATGAGGTGTTCGGGATTGGTCACTTTCCACTTATGTATGTGTCCCATTCTCTTACACGTTTACGTAAAAGTTTTAATGCTTTGCTATTTTTCCACTTTTTTTTCTTTTCTTTTTCTCATTTTCCGATTATTTGCTGATATACCAGATTGCTTTAAGACATCATCATTTTGCTACCGTTACTTATGTTTTTCTTATTAGGGAAAATTATTTTTTTAAACAAAACATAGTAATTATCTCCTAGACTAATTTCATATACTTTATATCTCATTGTGCTAAATATTTTTAAAATGGCAATAATGTCTTTAACTGTAATTAAAAATTAAAAATTACAAAAAAATTAAAAATTAAAATATAATAAATAGTTAAAGTGTTGTAAAAAAATAAAGCAATTAAAATAAAAGAAAACGTTAAAAATTAAAGTGTTGTAAACAAAATTAAAGTGTTGTCAAACTAAAATAAAAGTAATTAAAATATGTATGCTTTTCTTAACTTTTCTGAAAAATTATTTTTAATATATGAAAACTGAATATTTTCAAATATTTTTTTGCCGTATTTTCGGAACTGATTGTCCTTATCCGTAGATTACGTATTCTACTATATTTAGAATACAAGAATTATGTTTGAAATCAATTTCTACAAGTTTCAACTTTATAGTAATGTGTAGATTCTGATTTCTATTGATTTTAGATTTATAAGTAATGTGTAGATTCTGATCTTCACTGATTTTAGAAGGATATGTTAAACGCAGAATGTGCATTATAAATAATTTTGGATTAATATTATATACGTAAAACATGTATTATGAACGTAGTACATTCAATGAAAAAGTGGATTTTATTTACTTCGTAGAATATCAATTCTACTTTATGTGGACCATAATTTGAAGTTATGATTTAGACATTTTTAGAGCTTGAAAAAAAATATCACTAAATTGATATAAATATTTCATCAGTAGTTACTATTTTCGAATTTCTTTTCTTTGTATAATTATTTATTTGATTTATTTTCGAAAATACTAAAGGACATTATAAATAAAATGATATAAAATAGAAATTAGCCTAATAGAATGAACATAATTACTATGTTTTGGCTAAAAAACAATTTTTCCATTTTATTAAACATGATAAGTGTCAATGGTGAAACCCGACTAATCCCGCTCATTTGAATTGATCCACTGGCCAATCTTTATAACAGAGATCGAAAGGCTTAAAAGACTACATGAGGACTTTGAAGATATGAGGCTTTCTCATATTTCTCAAAGTAGGAATTGTCGAGCGGATTAATTAACTAAAGAGATGAAAAGTAAATGATCTACTTTTTCTCATATAGATCAAACCCGGCCAGACGGATATGCTCCTAAGAGGATCGATTTATCTGATTACCACTTGATTTAGCTTTAAATCGGCGGCTGGCAAAAAAAAAAAAATTGATCCACTGATAATATGTGAACCCAGTTGTTATACGTGAAAGTTAGAATCTCATGTCGTTAACCACACAAAATAGTTATGTTAAATTGTTGTTGAACTGATTTCTGACTTAGACCAACATAGCGATTTTTCATTCAATAGTTATGTTAAATTGTTGTTGAACAAAACAAAAATGTTAAATTGTTTATCATTGTGTAATTTGTTATGAACTAATCTCAAATAGAATAACTTTTATATTTTTTTTTTTTGAAACAGAATAACTTTTATCTTATTGAAAGATTTGTTAACAGAAAAGAAAAATCCCATGTATGAAAAATACATATATTTGTTTATTATAATTTTGACTTTTTTTTAGTTAGTTATTGATACTAAATTTCTCAACACAATTATATCTTTCATATTTCTATGTTCAGTTATTCTAACATAATATGTATTAATTCAAATTTAGAAATCAAGCTCTTAAATAAGAAAATAATATAAAATATCAAAAGGAAGAATATATAATAAAAGAATCTCCAGCTATATCAGTCTTGTTATTTACCCCGAAAATAAGGTTTTCTATCCACGTATCCAGTAAAATGTCACTATGTTTTTTGGTCAATAAAATTTATAACTACTACAACACTCGTTTTGTTCTTTCTTATGCTTCTAATTTTTATTTACTTCTTTCTTGTCGCTTATGTTTAGGGATGGACACGAATCGAATATTCCAATTTTTAAAAATATTTGTGATTTGATATGTTCCGTTCGAAGATTTGAATATTCAGAAAATTTTAGATTTTAATCTGATATTTGATTTGATCTATAAAAATAAACAAAATTATATTAATAATTATAAAAGCTAAAATAATATATTAAATAATACTATTTTATTAAATAATAAGATATTTAATTTAGAAAATTCCATTAACTAATTCTAATAGCTTTAATAGATAAAAAATATCGTAAACTCTTAAAAATATATATATTTATATAAGTTATATATATAAACTTTAAATATATGTAAATCATGCTGCTTTCAGAAAAACGATAGATCTAATTTTTCAAAAGATTTTCATGGATAATGACAATATATCCTTCCATAAATATAGAATCTATATATTTTGTTGTGTGGGGATGTCTTGGATTTTTTTGGATTCATATTAACTTTTCGCTATCATTATTAGGTATGATATAATAATAGTTTTAATATATCTTCCATATAATAAATATTTAAATAAGGTATGTTTATTTTTAAAAGGGTAGTACCTTGTAAAATTTATTTTGTAATTCATATTGTGAGATAATATTTGGAATTCAACATTTAGAGAGTTGTTTATATTTTTAATATGGTGGTAATATTTTACTCTTCGAACTAAAAATAGCTGATTTATTGGTTTTGCAGTCAGAAAAACGTTAAAGGAAATCACCTACCGTAATTCCATAATTTTGGCTACTTAACACAATAAATTAATAAATATTTAAACGGTAGATTCAACATAAGAAAACACTATTAATATGGTAATGACAAATGTCACAGTTCACATGTTACAATGTTTTTTAAATAATATATAAGAGATTATGTAGAGAATTTCTTTTATGGTCAAAGATGAATATAAATAGTCTTCCAAATTAATTTCTTAGATTTGTAATAAATCTAAGGAAATAAATTTAAAGATATTACAAATCTAAGGAAATAAATTTAAAGATTATGTACTTTTTATAACTTTTTTACTATAAAATACTGTTCTTATGTATGTATGCTTGTTATTTTATATATATATATATGACCAGCCTGAGTTAAACAAAGCAAATCATAAGAAAAGACGTTAGTATTATAAAATGGCAATCACCAAAAAGAATCTAGCATATGTTCTCACCATTATGCTCGTAGTATCTTATGTTCATTGTCGTTCAACATCTGATAACATTTCAGGTACCGATATTCTCCCAATTTTATTTCTGTTTTAAAACCATGGGCAATTTCATCTTTTTTAACAAAGTTATATATATATTGGTTTAATGTTTTATATTGAATAGGTTTTGGAATTAAAAAGAATGACAAGATGTGCTTCAAATCAAGTGAGTGTATGCAACCCGACATGGAGGAGTCAGGGGACAAAGTTTGCATTGCATTTTGTAAGAGGATGAATTTTAAATCAGGCTCGTGTGAATCTTATGGTAGTCCATGTTGTTGTTTCTCTGAATAAGTATGTGTTTGATTTTAGTCCATGTTTGACTAAGAATCTAAGATATATAATAAATACATAAAAAATTAACACAATTCGTTTTCACACGGTGTTAAGTTTTTATTCAAATATACTAGTTGGTTCGCGAGTTTTCTTTTAATGGTCAGCAATTTTCAATGATGTATTGTATCGTTAAAATAAATACAAGGATGTATAAAGTTTCAAGAATGGATGCTTTTCACTAAAATGTGGTTACTGGTTGCTCGTCTTCGTCTGGGATGATCTCTTCTAAATAACTTGTTAGAGCTGGTTAAGAATTGAACCACACTCTTTAACACTGAGAAACCACGATTTGGAAGCTCGGAACATCACCAAAATCAATTTAGTAGTGCATGTGTCTATTGGACAACATAAATATTCATTTTGTGGAACAACTTGGTTTGCAAAAGATCACATTGGCTCAGCTTCTTGTTCATGCGACAGATGCTCTCACCCATGCGAGAAACCTTGGCATGGAATAACTAATTAGAAGCACTACATTGACGATCTTTTGTTAGTGAAACCTCGGTCTGTGACCTTTCGTAGAGAAGACTAAAAACAAAAACAACTGAACTTTATTAAAAGTTCCAGTCAATGCGAGTGTTATTCACAGTTAACACGCTACGACCGAAATTAGAGAATATAAATTAATTTTTCCATCACAAATTCGATTTACAACGTAAGGTATTTTATTCTAATTTCTAAAAGTGTTCATTGGATATGCCAATGGTACCAATTAAATATTATTGACCAAGACCAAGACCGGATGATTGTGGTTGAGTGATAAGTAGACGAGGCTCAGACCCCAACATGTTTCAGGTTCGATTTATTTGATGTGTGAAACTAAGTCGTAATTATCCTGGTCATCTAACACGGATATGGACTCATGTTTTATGGCTCATTTGAATACCTAGAAAGAGGGTATATCCGTGGGTTGCACCTTCGCTTAGAAATTAATATAAACTTCTCCATGGGCCTAGGATACCTCAAGATTAATAAAAGAAAAAAAAGTTTATTGACCCAAATATTTAGCAGTTTTATATTTGTTCCGATTTGTCATAATGATTATTTAACCGTTTTTACTTATGTTGTCAAAGTCAAAAAGAAGTTGGGATTTTGTTGATCATTTGGTAGAACTATGATTTCTGACTATAATAACTCAACTGATATAAATATTTATATCGAAAATCTTTTAAATTTTTATTAGAAATTTTTTTCCATGGGGGGCTTTAAGACTTTGCAAAAACATTTATACTTAACATTTAATATACGTTACGTTTATTTTGAAAACTTAATTTAAGAAATTTTTAATATTCAAATCATATGTTCCCGGTTCTAGTTCCCTAACATTTAAGGAATAATAGACTACAATTATTTCCTATCAAATTAGAAAAGGAATAAATTTTCCTCTTATTTTATTCACTTTCATTCTTTTCTTTTTATTCCTCATATTCATTTACTAGTTACCAGTTACAGCTTTTGTATAATAATTGTGTTAAGATATTTCATAATTAGATAAGATTCAGATCATCATTTAAGTGAGCTATGTCATCATCTTCTTATAGATTGAATATGGTGATGACATATAAGCAAATAAATCGATGAATAATGCTAGAGAATTTGGAGTCGTATTATTCTTTGATCCACTGGTAATATGTGAACCCAGTTGTTATATGTGAAAGTTAGAATCTCATGTCGTTAACCACACAAAATAGTTATGTTAAATTGTTGTTGAATTGATTTCTGACTTACACCAACATAGCGATTTTTCATTCAATAGTTATGTTAAATTGTTGTTGAACAAAACAAAAATGTTAAATTGTTTATCATTGTGTAATTTGTTATGAACTAATCTCAAATAGAATAACTTTTATCTTTTTTTTTTGTGAAACAGAATAACTTTTATCTTATTGAAAGATTTGTTAACAGAAAAGAAAAATCCCACGTATGAAAAGTACATATTTTTGTTTATTATTATTTTGACTATTTTTTTTAGTTAGTTATTGATACTAAATTTCTCAACAAAATTATATCTTTCATATTTCTATGTTCAGTTATTCTAACATAATATGTATTAACTGAAATTTAGAAATCAATCTCTTAAGAAAATAATATAAAATATCAAAAGGAAGTAATATAATAAAAGAATCCCCAGCTATATTAGTGTTGTTATTTACCCGAAAATAAGGTTTGCTATCCACGTATCCAGTAAAATGTCACTTTGCTTTTTGGTCAATAAATTTTTTAACTACTACAAAACTCGTTTTGCTTTTTTCTTATCGCTTCTAATTTTCATTTACTTCTTTCTTATTGTTTATGTTTAGGGATGGACATGAATCGAATATTCCAATTTTAAAAAATATTTGTGATTTGATATGTTTCGTTCGAAGATTTGAATATTCAGAAAATTTTAGATTTTTAATCGGATATTTGATTTGATCTGTAAAAATAAATAAAATTATATTAATAAATATAAAAGCTAAAATAATATATTAAATAATACTATTTTATTAAATAATAAAATATTTAACTTAGAAAATTCCATTAACTAATTCTAATAGCTTTAATAAATAAAAAATATGGTAAACTCTTAAAAATATATATTTATATAATCTTTAAATATATGTAAATCATGCTGCTTTCAAAAAATCGATAGATCTAATTTTTCAAAAGATTTTCATGGATAATAACAATATATCCTTCCATATTTATAGAATCTCTATATTTTGTTGTGTGGGATGTCGTGGATTTTTTTGGATTCATATTAACTTTTCGCTATCATTATTAGGTATGATATAATGATAGTTTTTATATATCTTCCATATAATATATATTTAAATAAGGTATGTTTATTTTTAAAAAGGTAGTACCTTGTAAAATTTATTTTGTAATTCAGATTGTGAGAAAATATTTGGAATTCAACATTTAGAGAGTTGTTTATATTTTTCATATGGTGGTAATATTTTACTCTTTGAACTAAAAATAGCTGATTTATTGGTTTTGCAGTCAGAAAAACGTTTAAGGAAATTACCTACTGTAATTCCATAATTTTGGTTACTTGACACAATAAATTAATAAAGATTTAAACGGTAGATTCAACATAAGAAAACACTATTAATATGGTAATGACACATGTCATAATTCACATGTTACAATGTCTTTTAAATAATATATAAGAGATTGTGTAGATAATGTATTTTTTTATGGTCAAAGATGAATAATTCACATGTTACAATGTCTTTTAAATAATATATAAGAGATTGTGTAGATAATGTATTTTTTTATGGTCAAAGATGAATATAAATAGTCTTCCAAATTAATTTCTTAGATTTGTAATAAATCTAAGGAAATAAATTTAAAGATTATGTACTTTTTTATAACTTTTGACTATAAAAACTGTTCTAATGTATGTATGCTTGTTATTTTATATATATATGACCAGCCTGCGTGAAACAAAGCAAATCATAAGAAAAAGACGTTACTATTATAAAATGGCTATCACCAAAAAGAATCTAGCATATGTTCTCACCATTGTGCTCGTCGTATCTTATGTTCATTGTCGTTCAACATCTGATAACATTTCAGGTACCGATATTCTCCCAATTTTATATTTATTTTAAAACCATGGGCAATTTCATCTTTTTAACAAAGGTATATATTGGTTCAATGTTTTATATTGAATAGGTTTTGGAATTGAAAAGAATGACAAGATGTGCTTCAAATCAAGTGAGTGTATGCAACCCGACATGGAGGAGTCAAGGGACAAAGTTTGCATTGCATTTTGTAAGAGAATGAATTTTAAATCAGGCTCGTGTGAATCTTATGGTAGTCCATGTTGTTGTTTCTCTGAATAAGTATGTGTTTGATTTTAGTCCATGTTTGACTAAGAATCTAAGATATATAATATATACATAAAAAATTAACACAATTCGTTTTCACACGGTGTTAAATTTTTATTTATTTTAAACGAATTGTGGTCAGTAATTTTCAATGATGTATTGTATCGTTAAAATACATATGAGGATGTATAAAGTTCCAAGAATGGATGTTTTTCACTAAAATGTGGTTACTGGTTGTTCGTCTTCGTCTGGGATGATCCCTTATTCCAAATAACTTGTTAGAGCTGGTTTAGAATCGAACCACACTCTTTAACACTGAGAATACCACGATTTGGCAGCTCGGAACATCACCAAAATCAATTTAGTAGTGTATGTGTCTATTGGACAACATAAATCTTCATTTGTGGAACAACTTGGATTGCAAAAGATCACATTGGCTCAGCCTCTTGTTCATGCGATAGATGCTCTCTCCCATGCCATAAACCTTAGCATGGGAGAACTAATTAGAAGCACTACGTTGATGATCTTTCGGTCTGTGACCTTTCTTAGTGAAGACTAAAAACAGAAACAAATGAACTTTAAAAGTCCCAGTCAATTCGAATGTTATTCACAGTTAACACGCTACGACCGAAATTAGAAAATATAAATTAATTTTTCCATCACAATTCGATTTACAACGCAAGGTATTTTATTATAATTTCTAAAGGTACAAGTTAAATATTATTGACCCAAATATTTAGCAGTTATATATTTGTCCCGATTTGTCATAATGATTATTTAACCGTTTTTACTTATGTTGTCAAAGTCAACAAGAAGTTGGGATTTTGTTGATCATTTGGTAGAACTATGATTTCTGACTATAATAACTCAAATGATATCAATATTTATATCGAAAATCTTTTAAATTTTTATTAGAAATATTTTGCCATAGGGGGCTTTAAGACTTTGCAAAAACATTTATACTTAACATTTAATATACGTTACGTTTATTTTGAAAACTTAATTTAAGAAATTTTTAATATTCAAATCATAGGTCCCCGTGTATATATGTATATATATATATATGCTAATTTTTTTAAGTGTATGAAAATTTCAATATTCAAATCATAGGTCCCCGTGTATATATGTATATATATATATATGCTAATTTTTTTAAAGTGTATGAAAATTTCAGTCACCATTTTTGTAGAACGGAGGGAATATAGATTCACACAAATTCTTATTTGCGTATAGATTCACACAAATGTAATAGTAATATAGTATGATAGTTGTATATAAATTCTTCATGTTCATAAGTAAAACTGCTGTCCCAAGCCATGCATTGCTATTAGTAGCCACAATAAGCGCGATCTACAAGCATTGTGGCTACTAGATAAAAGCTTCCAGTCACATTGAGGTAAAAGTAAAACTAACTTATGCTATACAACAAAAAGTGGGTTAAAAAAAGCCCTTGTGTGTTGGTTGGGGCCTTTTACAAATTTTTGACATGAAAACAGTAATAAGTAAGAATCATAATGATATAAAAGAGTTTTGATAAACAGTGATAAATCACAGAATACAATTAAGGACATGATGCATATCAGATTCAAGAAGCTGCAACAAATTTCTCCCAAGTACCGTATTTTGAGCTGAAAGTTCCACCTCCAAATTGCTGTGCGTACTCACAGATCACAGTCCGAGCGCATGCGTCCCATGTCTTGGCTATGTCTTTGAGCGACATCGGCTGTGACAAACTTCTTAGCAATACGTTGAACCTTGCCATAGCCTTGGACGACAGGTCCTCGTTCTCTTTGCTGTTCAAGAAACCAGACCACGTTGTTAAGTTAAGGTAAGAAGACGATCCAGTTTCTTATAGATGATTTCTAAAGACATGAGCCAGATATTTTGGAGAAGATCAAAACTGTATGGTAGAAGTTTTTCTCGAGTATGGTTTGCTTGTACCTGGTTTCGATTTTGTCCAGGAGAGATGGAGAGCCGTTGGGGTAGCTACAAGGTACCAGCAGACGCAATGGTTGAATAGGACACTGTAACAGAGGCACAAAACATTTTCGTTAAATAAATAAATGAAATGATTTCCAATCTTAATGAAATGACCATGCTTACTATTTGGGTAGATGAGAGATGAGCCTTCAAGTCTGGGCTGAGAGAAACCGCTTTAAAAGAGAGTCTTACTGTTGTTCCTTCACACCCTTTGCTTGCTGTTCCTTCCTCACTAGTATCATCAGCATCTTCATCATCACTAATCTCAACAACTATATCTATCAGCCGCTGGTTTATTTCCTTGATTTCCTCCAAAAGGGCGTGCTCCGACTGCATTTCAAGATTGTGTCAATATTTTTAAAACATTTAAACCTTGTTGTGTGTCAAATTTCATTCATATATACCTAAGGGAAGTATAACTGAAATCCATACCTCTGTTCTTGCCTTCTTGCCAACAGAAGTCGCAGTAGATTCCAAATCTGATGTTTCTGAACATGCAAACTGCTTGTAATTATCACCAACGCTTCCTCCTAATGAAGAAACGCTTAATGGCATTGCAGTTGTGTGACGTTTCATTTTCTTGCTCGCCGTCACTCCCTCTTGCGTCATGAAGTTTCTTGCTTGGAGACGATACTTAGTCATTGCAACCAAATCCTCGCCCACTGAAGCTCTTGAACAGTTTCCTGGAGCTGCACCAGCTATACTGTCAACCATGGTTACAACAGATCTCATGTCACTTACTCCAGAAGAAAGTGATTGTGGTGAGATGGACTTAACCTGAAAACGACAAAAAGTATACATCATGATCAGAACAATGTTTCTGCTAGAAGATATGTATCTTGGTAATGTTACTTACGACTCTAATAAGGCGTTCAATAGGCAGCTCAGCGGCACTAGGATTTAAATTATTTCCATCAAGACTAGTAAACTCCTGAAGGAGAGGAGATGCAGAGATCCCTGGAGTGCCAATTGCAATGGATTGAACTACACTTTGCATACCAGTAGCTTGTTGGCGTGCAGTATTACCCATTGACAACGAAGAAACTCCAGATGGTTTCTCAGAGTCAACTTGCATAGGAGACAGTGCCAGGGGAGTTGAAGGAGATGGGACAACAAAAGGAGAGTTTGCAGGTTGCAATGGAGTTCCCATCTTGTTAACAGATGACATCACAAATTTCTGGTCGACCTGAGGAGACGAATGTTGTTGTGTCATCTGAGGAGATGCACCTGGGAGAAGCTGAGGCGACGTAACAGGAAGCTGGGAGCCTTGTTTTAACTGTTGAAGGGGATAAGTAGCACGCTGGCCCTGCAGAGGATGTTGCTGGAACATCCCACGACTAACATTCATCCCCTGCCTCGCTGATAAATCATTCATATCACTTTGTGCTCCTTGCTGTCTTGCTTGCAACTGTAGCTGTTGCTGCTGCTGCTTCTGTAGTAGCTGCTGCTGCATCTGGCGTTGCTGATATTGCTGTTTGAATTGTTGGTCTTGCTGTTGCTTCAGGTGTTGTTGCTGAAGCAAACTGGAACTTAACTGGGCTTGATTAAAATTAGACTGCAGTGTACTTAACCCACTTTGAGCAGAGGCAGAACTGTTATTAACTTGTTGAGACGTATTTTGTTGCATGGATCCCATGGCAACATGCTGGCCATTATTCATTGCATTTACTTGGCCTGACTCTAAACTAGAAGCCGGTATAGAACTGGGAATGTTCTGCTGTGTAGCTGAAACTCCAGGACGAGATGATAGAACATTGTTCTGCATATTTGCCAGACTACTCTGTTGTGCCCTTGGCCCAGAACCTGGGATGCTCATTGACTGCATCTGCGTAGTTGCTTGACTATCATGAGACTGATCCTGACCGTTCTGAGCTGATTGTTGGTGCATAGGCTGCATCTGCCCTTGATGTACTGGCCTCCGCCTATGATTATTTAAGAAATTTATAATCTGCTTCTCATAATTAGCCACCTTATCCTTTAATGCAGGCATGATATTGATCTTTGGAACCGTGAGAAATTGCATCATTCGCTCCAACATTGTCTTGAATTGTCTTAATTTCTCAAACTGCTCTGATCTTTGTTGCTGTGGAAGAGAATCCTCCTCGAGAAGAAAAAAAAAGAAATGTGTTCAATAAGAAAAAAGACAAGCACATAGATGCAAGCTACAATCTCTTGGGTTTGCGAAAGAACATAGATATCCCATGTTTAAATACGAGTCTCGAGAGCATTTTTTTTGGTGAAATGGGTAACAAGATTCCAAAGTTTTATGACTTTCTTTTGCTATATTGAACCGATCTTGCATTCAATTCAAAGTCTCATAAGGTACATACTACTGTTGCGGAGGACATACTCATGCAAACTATTCTCCTAGTAATAAAAATGGTAACTTACTTGCTGTAACTTGGCTCCAACTCTCTGGTTGATTTCACTAAGATCCGGTAAGTACGCCAGTTTCATAGTTTGGATCTGCAAAGACAAGCACCATGGTCACATACATAGATATAGCAAACTTATTTTAGTTCCCCAAACACTTCTGCGTACTGACAGCAAGACTAAGAAGCCAAAACCACTACCCAAATTACTACTAGAAAACTACCTTTTGGTAAACCTCCTCTTGCCAATCGACTCCATTTGCACTTTCCGTCTGTGCCGTTGAGTCTAACGAAGCTATAAGTTATGAAATGAGGTTGTTCAGCATCAGATAGTATTCCAGGATTATGTAAAGTATCAGAAGAATGTAAAAGCATACATGATGGCATCTCCGGAAGAGTTCTTTGGGATTGATATAGTTGTTGCCTCTGTTGATCCACTACACTTTGAGGTGGAAGCAGGGAGCCTGTGACTTGGCCAGAAGATTGTAGTCTTTGTTGCACATCCTGTTGTAGCAAATTAGATTGTTGCTGTTGCAAACCTAGCTGCTGATGATGCGACTGAAGGGGTATCATCTGATTATGTGACTGTTGACCCTGAGAAGAAAACACGCCATGGCCAGCCTGATGAGCTCGTTGTAGCCCAACCGTTGGCTGTGATAACATGTGCTGCACCGACTGCTGGTTAGTCTGCAAGCTCGAATTACCAACCTGGGAACTGAGCAACTGTTGTTGTGGTTGCTGCATTCCTGCAACATTGCCCAGTGGTTGCTGATGCGTAGACTGAAGGCTGTTTTGTTGAGACATCAGTTGCTGCTGGGGTGGTATTTGCTGCTTCTGCTGCATATTCAAAATGTTATTTTGTTGGTTCAGTAACCTTTGCTGGTGTTGCTGTTGCATATCGCCAACGACATTCTGCCCCATCACCTGCTTCTGTTGGATGCCTGAGCCATTTGCAGCTTGTTGTCGCATCATCTGTGCTTGTTGCTGTTGTAGAGGAGAAACTGACTGTTGCGGCAATGAAGTTTGCTGCTGGTGGATGCCAGAGGCTTGTTGTGATTGCGGATGTTGCCTTAGCAGTGAAGATTGATGCTGACGAAGCATAGACTGTGTGGAAGTCTGCTGAGCAGACAGTTGTGGACTTGATTGCTGATTTGTGTGGAGACCCTGGAGAGGAGCTGAGCTCATAGCTGAGGGAGATGTTGAAATGCCAGTCTGTTGAGACGAATGCATTTGATTGGGCTGCAGCGAATTTTGTTGCTGTTGTTGTATGTGCTGAACATTCCCTGACTGAAAATTCTGCTTGAGAAGTTGCTGCTGTAGCTGCTGCTGATAAATAAACTGTGCACTCTGTGGCGGCTGCTGCTGCTGCTGTGAAGACATAGCATTCGGCCTGCTCAGCATCTGCCTTTGGGATGGTGAAAACATGTTTGAAGAAAGGCCATGCTGTCCAGATGAATCTTGCAACATTCCGGCTACATTTTGCATACTGGAATTCTGGTTTACAACGCTTGTGACATTATTATTGGTTGGCGGCATGGAAGATGGTAAAGCAGTAGAACCAGTTACTCCAGAGCCAGTGTTACTCTGCATGGTTTGGGACAGCAAAGCCTGAGGTGCTTGAGATTGGTTGTTTGGTAAAGTTCCCGGAAGAAGGTTCCCTTGATTGTTGGGTACTACTCAAGAAAAGAGTAAACAGCACCAAATTAGAGAAACAGTCATCCAAAAACAAGATACATGCTTGAGAATTGTGGTTACTTGAATCCATGGATGAAACATTATTAGCGGCAGGGGTAGCTGAAGAAGAGCCGGTTGCATTTTGCGATTTGGTCTCCATAGTCAGCATCTTCATGGATATTTTCCTAAGGTAATCAACCTGAAAGTCGAAATAAAGCAAATCAAGAAGTTATACATGGATTTTGATAAGCTTTACCAGTACCAAAAGTAGTTCTATTCCAGGTTGTGGACTCCACTGCCTCACAAGTCGTTATGTATACCAATCAATAAAAAGATGTCGAAGTAGGGGACTGATTACCTGGTTAAGAGCACCACTGAAAATTTTCTCCTCGAATCTAGCAGCAATCCTCCTGAGCTCGTGATCTCCCTCTGTTGCAGAAAGTGGAAGGTGCTTCTTTAGTGTCTCCATTCTACATGCAAGTGACAAGTAAATAAGTACACACAAAAAAAATAACAGTATCATTGGTCAAAGACACTACTATAACATCATATTAATTACAAGTATATCTGATGAGTTTTTTTTTTGCAGAGAGATAAAACACAATGTAATAATAAACGTACATCTTGTTGACAACCTTCTGGCGAGAATCATGTGGCAATTGATCTCTCCAGTCACCTGTGTCCATGGCAGGATCTCCATTTGGAAGAGAAGGCCTCCAATTGTTATTATCCATCATGTGTCCTACTTTTTACAAGCCATGAAAAGAAAAAGTTATCAATAGCAAGTAGACTTCTTTAAACTCAATGAAAACAGAGAAAAAAAACAAAACATGGTAGCCCAAAACTTCACAGCAAACAAACGACCACACAACATGGATCAGATTAACACACAGAATGTCTTAATATATGTCTCTTTTGTTTAACATGTACGCCAAAAATCACCAGCCAGGCTAACATAATAACATTCAGGGAATCACCAACTCTATAGAAACCAAAAAAATCATTTTTAAAACCAGTAACCACATTCTTTACACCATCAAGGTTCTTACTTTTACAAGCCATGAAAAGCAATAGTATCAATAGCAAGTAGACTTATTACAGCTCAATTAAAATAGAGAAAGAAGCCAAAACATGACAAGAAACAAACGACCACACAACAGGGATTAGATTGAGACACAGAATGTCTTAATATATGTCCTTTTCCATTTACATTTATGCCAAGAACCAAACCAACCAGGCTAACAAAACCATTCACGAAAGCAGAAAGCTTGATCCATCAGATTTTAAATACGGAATTAACAATCCTATAGAGATTAAAAAAAAAGTCTTTTTTAAAAAAAACCAGTAATCACAACTCTTTTTATTTTCTGTTATTACAAAGCCACGGACAGACAAAGAACTCAAATAGCCTGTCCGAAAACGAATAAAACACACTTTATCACACCAACAACGTTGTTCATCTACTCACCTAATTTATAAGAAACACAGAAACCACCACTTTATAAACGGAGATATCGCATGTCTTGTCTAAAATCCCGGTTCACAAGAGACGAGATTCGAACATTTCACCTCAAAATTCAGAGCTTATAAGCTGCGATTTCGCGTTTTGGGGGGCAAAAAGGGTTGCTTGCTACAACGATTAGGCGTCTACAAGTCCTTGAAAAAGTAGTGAGAAAGGATTTTTTTGGGCAAAATGCAGAGGAAGGAAACTTCTTCTCAAATCATTTTTTCTGCCAAAATGCGTTTCCTTGCTCTTAGCTTATAAGGACAACAGATTTGTCTTTAAATTACCGAAAACTCCTCCAAGTAATACAAAACTACAATATGAACCAGCTATGTTTCTTTAGCTCCATCCAAATATGTTGAGACGACGGCGTTTTAATTTCCACATGTGGTTTAAGGCTTTCGACCGTAGCGGTAGAATAGATAAAAGGAGAAGACTTTTTTTTACCTTCACTGTAAATATTTATGAGTCATCTCCACCTCAGTTTTCCTATCACGCTCCTCACTGGATGCATTTGACATGGTTTGTATTATGGAGAGAGTATAAACTCTTGATACTCTTTCCATAACAGCTTATACTCTTTTCAAGGTGTTGAAAATTTCGGAGTCTTCCAGTTGTCAAAAATTAATGAGTTAATCGGTTAAAAATTGTGGCTATATGTTTTTTTTTCTCTAAGATTTATGTTTAAATTTTTAGCTGTGGCTTTGATTTTTTTTTGTTGCGTTAAATTTTTCTAAAGCACTGAATAAAATTTTTAAAAGAAATTAATTTATATAGCTAATATACTTTATAACATTTTGGTTGAATTTTAAAAACTATATCATGATTGTTAGATTTGAAAACTGTAGAGAAAAAAATGGTCGTTCACACCTCCTGCGTCATCTTCCAACCACCCCTTAACTCCTCCCAACTGACTGCAATTCTCCTGAACTCGTCACTTCTTTCTTTCTCAGTATATGCAAAATGATTCTATATTGTGTGTTTCATTCTGCTCAAATGACAAAGTAACACTTCTCTATCTACAACACATAGTCACAGGTCCAAACAAAATACAACAAAAACGTTGGAAAACATTTTGCTTCTACTGTTTTTGTCAAAAAAAAAAATTAAGAGTTAAGACATGGCTTGCTCCTCAAGAAAAATTTCATACACTAACCATAATAATATCAAAATTTCGATAGTAAAATCACCTCAGATTTGTAGGAGCCCTCTCTCTCTCTCAGGGATCAGTAGTCTGCGACGTGCAGCGTTTGCGTGAACACAAAATAGCAAAACAAATGAAATCAAATACTATGTTTTTTACACAGCCCAACTGAACACTAAAGAGGTGATACGTCTTGTTGAGCCCAAACATATACAGGCCGGATAAGTACTGAAACTACAACACTTCCATCTGCTTATTATTACATTGTCATTAGTAAATAATTAGACAAATTCAAGCGAAATTTATTTTGCCTCTCAAATTCATTACCTTACCAAAAATGTTTTATGAAAATCAAAAAAAGGAAAATAAAAAGTAGAAAGAAAAACAGAATGTAAATTACAAAAGATGGAAAATAAATGTAAGTAAGAACAAAATAATAAAAGAAGAAATGTACCTACGTAATAGATATAATTTATGATTCTTAAATTACATCTCATCTTATGATAATTGATAGGCATAACAGAGTGGAAAACAGAGCGAGGGAGAGAGAGAGAACTAGAGACTAGAGTAGAGGGCAAGAGCAAAAACTTGAAAGAACCTAAGAATCAAATATCTATGAGATTAGAGAAAAAAATAGCAAACTCATCTCCACTGTCATCAGAATCCATTGTCCGATGATTATCTATTTATAGTCTTATCATATCATATATAGTTACAGTTATGTGTAGCCTAGAACGTCTGGCTGACAAAAGAATATTTCATGTTTGATGGCTGCTCTGTAGATATATATATCAGTTCAGGTTGTTGTTATCAAGAGGAATGTTAAGGTCAGGGAGCAAGAACGAGGAATCATCATTCTTTTTTGACTCAGCAGCCTGCACATAGATACCATATGTTATTAGACTTATTTACATATATATAATATCTAGGCAAAGCAGTGAGCATGTTTAGTAGGTTGGTGTGAACCTGGATTCTCTTTAACGACTCGTTTCTTGCTCTTTGTTGCTTCAACAGATTTCGCATACTTGCGAGTTCCTGATTCACCAAACACGTAAACATATAAAAGATTTGGACTTGATGTTAAGAAAGAAGATTGAGGAAAAAAAAGATATTTTACATTTTTTAGGCCTTTCTTTTCCTTTAAGAGTAAACTCTCCTCCTCCTTAAGTTCAGCAAGCGTCTGTTACCAGCCACATACATTGATTAAACATATGACACAACCATGTGATTTTTATCAGAATCTAGATTTGTAACCCTGATTTGCTTACCTTTTTCTTTCTTGATTTCTTGAAATGGGTTGTTGGTGTTACACTTGTTTGAGATATCTGCATAAAACCCCACTATAAAGATCAGATACTGGCTTTTTGCAACATATATACTAAAGAATCTCCCCACATTTAGAAGTATAAAGTGGTTGATCATTCACAAAATATGCATAACTTCTTAAAGATTTAATTCAAATCACTTCATTAGACAATTGCAGTAAAAACATTCAAAAAGGGAATCTTCTTTCTTGGTCAACTAATTAGACCCAAGAAAGGAAATATGAACAGAAGTGCCTCTTTTTCTCATTACATCGAGACACACACACCCCAACTTCAAAAAGAAAGAATAGAATCACGTGACTAAAGCGTGACTCGCAAGACTTTTACGCGTGTCTTCCCATGGCCAAGAACCCCACACATTGTCACCAATTACCCACATAACCATCTGTCCCTATCACATTCCTTTTCTTTCTTTAAATTACAAATGGCGACTTTGTGGGTTCCCTTCATCTACTTTAGTAAGATAACTCAGCTTAAACCATATAGAAAAAGCTAAAGACACAAGGCTGTCACCAATAATATAATAGTGAATGATTTTGACCCAAAGGTGTTCTGGAATTGCAGTCAAAGTGTCGTGTAGAGAGAAGTTCTCGACCCTTTTTCCACGTCGAGTGTACTGTGCGCTACGCTGCATCTGATTACACCACACACACACACCAGCCCAAACCTAATTCGCCACGAAAACGCCTCTCCACCCCCATAAAAGAAGGCAGCTTATAATAATGAGCAATTTATAAATAACGCCAGCAATAACTCCTCTTATTGACCTAATTACCCCTGAGCTGACTCTATGACAAGGGTTAATATGGTCATAACAAAAACCGTGACCGTGAGTTTGGTAACCAAACAGACAAACTCTAGATATGAATATCTAGCAAAAACTGACACAGAGATTTTGAGTTTAGAAGAGTGTGCTGTTTTACGGTCACTTAGTGATGGATGTTAAGGTCAACGAAGGCCAAGGTTGCGTCCCTAACGAAATGACGAATATGACCCTAAGATAAGCAGATGGGCAAAAATGGTAGTAGTTGAGGAAAAAAAGGAAGACCGAGGATTATGTGAAAGTGGATATCGCCGAATCATTTCGTTATAAGGTGGCTAGTGTCTACCGACGGTTTTCTTTTTCCGGCCACGTATACTGATGGTATATTTGTCAAACAAATAAACAGAGTAACGTAAAAAAAATTTAAAAAAAACTTGAGAAAAAAAAAACTAAAAGGTTTGTTATGGAAAAGAACCTTAGATCTAACGGCCGATGACAACTTAATGGCCCTGCTGGACTCCTCAACTCCATCAACGGCAGCGCCGACGCCTACACCACCGCTGAGAGAAGTGGCGCCGCTCCAGGAAAGTGGCGTGGAGGGACTGCCACGTGTATGCTCTCCCTTCTTCCTTGAAGGCGGCGTAGGCTTACTCCTCGGTTGTCGCACGCACCATTTCAGCTTGAGATCCGAGGCACCGCTCTTATCAGGAGGAGGCGGCGGGTTAAGATGGTGTAGGGAGATCAGTACATCCGCCACCAATGAATCATCGGACATAGCTTGTCGAGTCCAGTCTCTGTCGGTCATATTATAGGTTTGGATTTTCCACCGATTTTAGAGAGAGGAAAAAGAAATGGTGACGAAAAGTGGAGAAGAAGAAAAAAAAATGGCTGTGGCAGATTAATAGTGGATTATATATATACACATTCGGAACGTTTTCACACACACAGTTGAGATAGATTGAAATAGTAGTACTTTGTAAAGTTTTGTCTTTATTATTTTCTTGGTGAAAGTGGGACCCATAAGAATACTTACGTGGCATCATGGACTATTTTGTGCTTCGTGTCTAGTGTATAACGCTGCTTGCGTGATGGTTCGGTTTTCATCCACTAGTATATGCAGTTTCTGGATATTTTTTGTGGACGTGTGGTCTTTCTTACTGGAATCACTCTCATACTCAGTATGGAAATTTCGTAACTGCAGATACCATTGTGGTAAAAAGTTTAGATATAGTAACTAGTAACTATGTACTGAAACAAAAGCCCTTTTTTTTCCATAAGATATGAAACTGTAATAACGAATAAGCTGTATAGAGAGAATTTAACAAAGCTAAACTTTAAACAAAACGACGACTGTTTCAATCAACTGGTAGGAGGTGTGGCGACATTAAATTTTAAAAGAGTCAAACTGAAGTTAAGGAAAGGGTGATCTCATGGGTTGAAATAGATGAAAGACTAATGGGCCTATTTCACAAATAAATGGGCCTACATAGGAGGATACAATATGCACGAGACACGTCGTCTCGGTTTGTTTCAAAATTACATTCGGTTTACCAGACTTGCCTGAACAATAACCGATCGAAACATTTCAAATCCAATTAAACCGCATTAACCGTAAACCTCCGATCGTCGTCATCATCATCATCAACACCAAAGCCCTAAACCCTACCGATCAGCCAAAAAAAACCATGGCGCTTCTTCTCGCCAGACGTCAACGAAGATTCACATCAACCACCACGTCTTTGGTTCGCCTCTTCTCCAATTCCTCACCGGATCCACCTCCCAAAATCGAGAAACCTCCCCAGTCTCCGTCGTCCTTCACTGACGTCAAGAACTCTCTCAAGAACAAATCCGCCCAATCTCAGAATCGAGGATCACGAGCGTCGTTACAGGATCTAAGCCTTAACCTCGCCAGGTTCCAGCGTAGATCCGCCGCTCCGGAGAGCGTGCCGCCTTCTGTTTCCTTCGAGGCGCTATATAATCGAAGAGGGCAAGATAGTAATTTGAGTAAGTTACGAGAAGATTCGCAGTCCAACGTTGGTTCTAATGAAGCATTGCCGACGTCTGTGTACGTGGAAGATGAAACAGAGGAGGAGACGATGATGATGACGGAGTTTTTAAAGATTTATAAGGAAGATGAGTTGGGTGAGAAGCTGAAGATGCTTAGACCAGAGGGGAAGAAGGAAGGAGGGTGGTTCTCGTTGGAGGAGTTGAATGAGAGGTTGGTTAAGTTAAGGAAAGTGGAAGAGAAAGAGGTTAAGAATCAGCGTGGGAAGTTTTCTGTGTTAAGGAATGTTATTGGAACGCTTGAGGATGACAAAGCTAAACATGATGATGTTATTTCCCGTATGTTTCTGTTTGTGCTATAGTTTTCGATTATTGAGAGCTTTGTTATTGGTTAACTCTGCGATTATAGTTTGTTGGTTTTTGCTTAGGGTTCGTAAAGTTGAGATCTTTGTTTGGTTTTTAGCTATGTTTTGGCTGTTAAAATGAGATTTATGTTATCTAAGGAGGTTTATATGGTTGCAGTGCAGAGTCTTTTGGATGGTACTCCTGAGTATAAGCATTATCCTCCCAAAGATGAGCTAGTTGAAACTGTAAGCTTCTTTTTTTTCTCGTTCTTGGACCTTTAAAGCTATACTAGCTTGTCAGTCTCAGAGAGGAAAAGCTTCTTTTTGATGTTTTTGAGCAATGCTCTATTACTCTGTTGATCTGCTGTGACCATTTAATAAACTGTGGGTATTGATATGTTTTTATGTGACTGCATCAACGAAGTACTTCCACTCGGATAATCTGTCATCTGCGGAGAAGATGAAAGTTGAGCTCACGAAAGTCAAGGAATATTTCAAGATGTCGGAATCAGATTGTGGTTCTGCACGCGTGCAAGGTAAATTTTATACAAGGCTAATGGCTTTCTCTCTCTTTCTGATCAAAAGGATCACATTTTTCTGAGACAGATTTTGGTTAGGTTGTCTTGTAATGTCTTTGGTATGTCTTTGCAGTGGCACAGCTAACTACTAAAATCAAGCATTTGACCTCTGCTCTGCACAAAAAGGTAAAACCTCCTCTCAAGTTGTTTTTTCAATATTCTTCTGTATCCCTAATGTCAATACTCGGTGACTGTATAACAAACCGTAGGACAAGCATTCGAAGAAGGGACTTGTAGCAATGGTGCAGAAACGGAAGAAGCTGTTGAAATATCTAAGACGAACTGACTGGGATTCTTACTGCCTTGTCCTGTCACAACACAGTCTTCGTGACATCCCGGATTACAAGATCCCGAATTACAAGGACAAAGCTTAGGGTTCTATTTCCACACTCTTTTGGTTTGGTCAACACCCTGTTGGGACTCTGAGACTTAGCTGTTCAAATCCTGTTAGGTATTTTACTCTCTAGGGAAGAAACTCCCTCAACTCTTTGTTGTTTCACTATTCATTAATATTGCCTCTTACATTTGGAGAGTGATAATAGAGTTATACTAATAAGCTTTTTCATGATATAATTTTACATTGTTCACAAGCTGGACTCATGACTTGGTACCACTTTAAAGCAATGATACGATATTTGAAGAACAGCATCATGTTCTGGGAGAAAGTAAGTATACACTCAACGAGACAACGTAGGAAAACGACACGTGGATACTCTCCTTTAGATGCAAAACTTAATCTTTGATCATTGAAATGCAAATCACAGCCATAGGATTTTACAATATGTGGCATTGCTGCTTATTACGTGTAGCTTACGTTTTACATATTTATAATTTAACAAAAACGAGAATTTGAAATTTAACGATTAAATGGTGGTGAATCCCAAGAGGGTGGAGGAAGCTGAACTAACGGTTGATTGGAACCCATGTCCGGGTTTGGATATGGATTTTCCGGTATGGTTGGTATGGATGTAACCGGCGGTTGCTCTGGTGGTAGCCATGGATTCGTTACCTCTGGTGGCGTGGTGAAGACGGGAGTTTGTGGTGGGAGTTCTCCAAGAGCTGGTGGTGCGGAGAATATTGGAACTGTCGGTGGATCTTGTACGATCGGTGGTGTTGTGAAAACTGGTGGAAAGTCTTGAACCGGAGGAGGCAAAATAGGCGGATAATCTTGAACCGGTGGTGGTAGAATCTGTGGAAAGTCTTGAGGCGGGAGGTCTTGAACCGGTGGAGGCAAAATCGGAGGGAGATTTTGAACCGGTGGAGGTAAAATAGGAGGGAGGTCTTGCACCAGCGGAGGTGTACCGATGAATCCCGGAGCACCACCGCCTAAAAGAGGAGTTGGCGTCATTAGTGGTGGTGGGGGAGATAATACTAATGGAAGAAGGGGTGGTGATGGAAGAGAGGAAGACAACGGTGGCGGAAGAAGGGCAGACGGTGGAGGAAGGGGTAGCACAGGAGTAGGTGAAGGTAATATTGGAATTGGAGTAGGCGTTACTGGTGGTGGCATAACTGGAAATAAAGGTGGTAAAGGAGGGAGCATAATTGGTGTAGGGACAAATGGGATAATCGGTGGTACTGGTGGCGGTGGACAAGCTACTGGTGGAGGTTGAGCCGGTGCTGTGGTACAAACAATACAAGGCTGAGGAGGAGGCGGTGCTGGGGCTGAGACACAAGTGACGCAAGGCACCGGAGGAGGCGGTGCTGGAGCTGTGACACAAGTAATGCAAGGCACAGGAGGAGGCGGTGATGGTGGAGGTGGACAAGGAACCGGGATTGGCGGTGGCGGTGGTGGCGGGCAAGGAACTGGTATTGGAGGTGGTGGTGATGCTTGGACACAAGTAACACAAGGTGGTGGCGGTGGTATAACTACGGGTGCAACCACCGGTGTAGACACCGGAGGAGGAGGAGGCAAGAAAGGGTTTTGAGGACAAGGCACAATTGGGAAATTCCATTGACCGCAAGTGCCAAACACACACCGGAAAAACACATCGCATTTAGTTGCAAATGCTTCACCGTTTCTGCTTGAGCTTCTTCTTCTGCTTTTGCTTTTGGCTCTTCTGTGTCTTCTATCCAAACCTTGCTTGTCTTTGTCTTTGTGTCTATGTTGATTCTCTAAAGATTCTGTTATTGAAACACTAATCAAAAGTAGTGTAACTACACAGATTATTACAAGTCGTTTCATCTTTTATCTTTTTAAGACATGCAAGAACTAAACTACGCATGTACATATATATTTATAGTGGAACCATTTGATGATTGATTATATTGAATTCCTGGCCACTTTAACGTTTGTCACTACGTAAGACCTCAGTTTTGTAAGGATTCAATTAATATTTTCGATAATATAGAGAATATTTATTTGGATACACAATTCTATGCAGAGTCAATAAGTACACCTGACTCAGGAATTTAGAGCTATGAGGTGAGTGTTATCCAGCCCACACACAGCCTCTATTCTCAAAGAACATTGAAGTGAATGTAGACAGAACTATGTTTGTTTGTGATGTAGCACTTTCAAAGAATTAGAGACATTCCGGTTTAGAGTCAATTGGAAAAACATAAGCCATCTTAGTAAGTGTAAGTTCGAGTTTGAACAGTGCAACAAGATTGGTTACTAAATAAACTTATGTATTACATCAATAGGTCAACCAAGATCATGTTGGTTGGATTGAGCCAAAATCATTAAAATTGAATAGCCTACTTTCGTCTAAGAACATTGGAATCGATTTAAAACCGGCCATGGGGGACAATGGGAACGGCCAGACCGAAGCTAGACCATATAGAATGATGGTCTACAAAACCGGTTAGATCAGAACTGGTTAAACAAGTCACATGCCATCTGCAGAATATACATTGAGGAGTTATTATGTATAGATATGAAAACAAACAAATGGTAAGGAAGAGAGTAGAAGAAATGCAAAGAAGCAGAACGTGTCGTTAGTTCTTTGATTCTGCTCTGCTCGAAGAAAGCCGCATTGAATTAGAGTTGAGTCTTCACTTCGAGAATTGTTATACTTATCCCACGCCGTTGCTTCAGCTGCTCCTCGTTATTACATATCGTAGAAAACAACCTGACACATTAAAGTTACACCTTTATTAAACAAATCTCGAAAGGCCATATTGCAATTTTGGGCTAGAATTTCCAAACTCTTTAAATGGCCCATTAGATTATGAAACATGAGATGAGACGTGGCGTACACACGAAAGTACAGATTGTAGAGGAAATCAAAATCATTACGTTACATTACATATACTTATTTAGTAATCGTACACGCTAGAGAGGAAAACAGAACATGACTTTGTGTTACAAGTTACAACGTAGGGGACTACATTAACTAAGGAGGAATCATTTCGACGTCCTCCGCAGGCGAGGATTGGCCAGGAACATCGGGAGGAGGCAGCCAAACTATTGGTGGCATAGGTGGAAACTCATCCAATGGCGGCGGTAGAGTGAACACTGGTGGTGGAAGCCATAATGGCGGAGGAGATGGAACCAACGGTGGCGGGAACGCTAGGACTGGTGGTGGCGGCGAAGGGAATATGAAAAACGGTGGTGGAGAGGGAGGAGGAGGTGAAGGAACAAGCGGCGCAGGGGGTGGTGGTGGTGGTGATGGAACTAGAGGCGGTGGATTCGGCCTTGGACGTGGCGATGGACGCGGTGGTGGTGGAGATGGAACTAAAGGTGGTGGACGTGGTCTTGGACGGGGTCTTGGACGTGACGGTGGACGAGGTGGAGGTGGAGATGGAACCAACGGTGGTGGACGGGGTCTTGGACGCGGTGGTTGACGTGGTGGTTGAAAAGGGAGAAAAGGGTTATCAGGTGAAGGTGTAGTAGGAAAAGGCCAACGGCCACAGATTCCGAATAAGTATTGGTAGAGTGGATCGCAGTTTCTGCGTCCACGATTCTGACCGCTTCCACTGCGTCTTCCTCTGTTTATCTGCTTATGATCATTTACGGATACAGCTTTTGCGTTTGCGTTCTCGTCATGATCTGATTCGGTTGTGTGAGAGTCGACCAAAAGGAGTAGTGAAAATAAAAACCAAATCACAAGAAGTTGATTTGTTTTCATCCTTCTTTTGCTCTTTACTTCATTTGTTCTCTTCTTCTTTTGATAGAGAGCTAAATATAGTCCATTTTTAAGTATTTAAATCAAAGAATATAATTAAGAATAATGTATATTCATCTCATGGGAAATGTAGGAGGATGAGTAAATGCTGGGAGGAAGAGATGAGTATTATCATCAACTGCAATGGCAGAGAGAAAATCTAGAAGTATGTGCTACTGTTGTAATTGAATGCGCTTGCTCATTCAATCCATGCTTATCTCCATACTCTGCATAAACTCTTATCTTCCTTCAAAACGTTGACTTTCAAATGTAGTTATTATAAGTGTTTTTTTTTTTCATAAGTGTTAGTCACCATGCTAATCAAATACCATTCAAAAATGTATCAATAACTCTAATGAGGGGATTCAAATGAAAAGATATTGGGAAATATATATCCGAAAAAAAACTTTGGACCTGCACTGATTCGAATCTGCTCCTTTACCATCTTTGTCTTGACTAAGAAGATAAAAAAAAAAAAGAAGATAAATAAACTAACTATCTCACAGAAGCTCAGATGGCTTTGTATATAGTAGTGCATCTATGGTGTGTGCACTGTAACAAAGCTTAAGGAAGAGATGGTGCTAGTCGCACTTTGACATGGCATGAGCTTTTAGTTGGGAAATAATATGCGGCTGATGTAAAGTATAATGCATAGAACAGACTTAAAAAGCAGACGAAAAAGATGCTCATGAAGATACATTGAGCTTTGATTGGACATCCTTGTCCCAGAGAGTGAAAAGACCATCAAAGCATGACATCTCTAACTAACCTTCAAACTCTCAAATTTGAGATTCTGCCACAGATCTTATTAATATCTTCAAATCTTTGAGATTTTAAATAGTAAAATCTCAAATCAAAATTTTAATAAGAATTTCAAAATACTATTATTTTTTATTTGGTTCCTTACAATTGTAGTTTCTTTATATATGAATAATTGACGTTTTAAGATTTTCAAAAATTAAATACATTCTTTTGTTTACTATTTTTGATTTCACCATTCATATTTTTATATTTAATTTATGTTTTAGTTTTAGAACAATTAATATACTAATTTTACTTTAAAACATCAATTCTCATATACAAAACTAAAATAAAAACATGAATCATTCAAATAAAGTAGCTAGGGAGTAAATCTTACATATAATTACTAGGGGAAATCCGCGCTTCGCGCGGGATGTGTTATTTTGGTTTATGACTTGTTTATATGGTTGTTTGCTTATTTGTTTATGTTTAGGATTATAATATGGTTATGTAGTGTTTTGTTTATTTTATATCGTTGTTTGTTAGATTTTGTGTGCCTATGTAACTTTTTTATATGTAGGAGAGTGGTGCATTTTTTTTTTGAATTTGTTTATAACTATTAACATTTAACTGACAACTTTAAATTTGTATTTTTTTTTGAGAAATTAAAATAGTGTTTGTAATTTTATCCCGAAATTAGAGAAAGTATACACCAACTACGGGTTTAATCTATTGATCATATAATAAAAATAAATTATTATTTGTTTGTAGTAGCAGTATGAATCACACTGGTTCGAAGTAACATTCAGGTTGTTTGTCTGTTTGGTTGTCATTGTTTATTTGTTTGTGAATAATTGTATACCTCTGACATGGTCTATACTTATTGACGTTCATTGATTAAGTAGAAGAATATACAAAAAATATAATTTTGTATTATTATGAAATGATTTTAAATGATTGTAATTGTTATACATCTTCTTAAATGTTTGCACAGCTTTTTATATATATAGTAAATAGAATGGATTTTTTATTGTTGTTGTTAGGTTTAACAATCAAAACAGTGATTATTTTATATTTTTGAATGTATTTGTAGTTTTATTTCTTTTTTACACATTTTATTTTAAAATTACTAATTTCAACAATGTAAAAATGAATATATAATTCGCAGTAATAGGAAACTATTTGTTTTTAAAACATAATGAAAACATAGTTCTAATTATTAGTATTCAAATAAATATATGACTGAATATTTTATATCTTCTTCCCAAAATCTGGTTGGCCCTGGTTGTAGTGAAATGATTGTCTGGATATCTTAGTTAAATTTCCTGCTAATTGCTGTAAAACACTATAAAAATTTACTGCTAGCCGAGAGAAACATTCCACCAAGAACCATCAATGTATTTAAATAGATTTACACTAACAAAAGCGAAACTGGTGAAGATACTTTCTCATCCGTATTGCCTATTGATGTTAACTGAGCAACCTTTGGTTTCTTTTTGGTTTCAATGCAGCGTAGATCGATCTACAGAGTCAATAATATCAACCAATAAATTGGAGACACTTTTACACGATTTGAGCAAAATCCCTAGAGGAAGTCTTCACAAAATGTTTTGTACTTTCTACCTCTCGAATACGAACGTTGACCTTCATAGTTCGAAAACGAATCATCTTTCTTCTTCACCTAAGAAAAGAAACATAACTCTTCTTGGTTTCTTCCTTGGTAAGCACGGCTAAAACCCAACATCTATTCTTGTGGAGGGTGGATCTGAAGATGATAAACCAAGCCTCAAGGACAAATCACATAAGCTCTCTGTTCTTTCTTCCGGAGCTTTTATACTAATAGGCATGCCAGTGATTATAGGCGTCTCAGGGACTCTTAAGGACATGTTCACTTGCTGGGTCTGATTATCACTTCCGTAATACAAAGGATACACCGAACCCAAGTTGATTGGAACAGCAATGCATCCAAGGTTAAGAGCAGCTGAGCACAGTGTAACCACAATAAAATAAACAGTACAAACCACAAGTATTTTTCTTGGATTGGGTATCGTAAATCCCCAAAACCTCATTTTGAACAGTAACTTTCTGAAGAGTTAGTTAAAAAAGAGAGGTATCAAAGATACCTTCAACACAATGAGGCAAAAGAGGGCCAGATTTCAGTGCTTTCATCTCTTCTAATAATGGTGTCAATGGCATCACTGACTCTATTCCACATAGTATCAGCATCTTGTATACTCTTCCTAATATCAAACCCCAAAGTCAGCAAAATTCAGATATGAAAACACAGAGAACACTTGGTAAGAAGAAGAAAGACCTCGGAGTTGGATTTAGAGTACATGATGTCCTCAGCTTTCAAGACAACAACAGGCAGCTTCTCCTGCCTTTCTTTGTTCTTCCTCGTAGCAGCACCGTGTGTTTCCATGGCGAGTCTGAAACCATCAAAGATTTAGAAATCCTAAAAATGAGTGTTAACTGGGAGAGAGAAAGAAGGAAACCTGAAGATCTGGCAGATGATGGAACCTCAAATGGGTTGGTGGCTCAGAATATACATACAACAAAGAAAGAAAGAAAGAAAGAAACTTGTGTTTCATTCAAAAAAAAGAAAGAAAGAAACTTGTTGACCTTGGTGCTAAACTTAGCTTGGAAAATTGGATGGACTGAGATATTAGCATTGGATGGACTGAGATCAATAGTAAGGCTGATAAAACCTGAAGCAAGAAAACCAATCCAATAATCTATAATAAAATCAATCAAAATCAACCCACACAAACAAACCATCACCAATCTAAGAATATGCTAACAATAGACTCAACTTAAATCAGACTCGCATCACTATCAGCGAAGTTATTATTGTTTATGCAAAATCCCAAGCAGGAAACCAACTCGAACCAAAAAATCGATACAGCAAAATAAAAACAAAACAGGTTGTAAGGAAGCTCTCAGGCGATGTAGTTGGGACCATCTTTGCTCTCCTAGTCGTTGTCTGCATACTTGGAGTAAAGAATTGTGCTTCCAGTCAAAATTGGTAGTGGCTGAAGTTTACCTTTCTCATCTAGAAAAACTTGGTCCAATCGCTATAACCTTCCAAAAATCAAAGAGGAGAATGTTAATACTTGGCATTTGTGTATAAGCTAAGAAACACATCATCAAGCTTTTGGACTTACCCTGCTAATAGAAGGCTTCTCTTTGGTAGTCTGGTTAGTAATAATCCTCCAGCTGTTTTCTCCATGTTCTTGCTTAACGCTCTTGGAATATTTTATTCCTTTTGTGCCATCAAAACCAAAAAGTTTTTATTTCCATTTTTCTCAAGATCGCCTTTGTTTCTTGCTTCCTCTGTTCTTGCAATGTATATCTCAACCTCTCGCTCTGTTTTTGTCAGAAAAAGATGAAAACTTTATCAGTCCCCATGTTGTAAAAATCAAATCTTTCAGTGAGATACGTGATAACGAACTTGTAAGATGACGAAACAGCAGCTCATGTGTAGCATTTTTTATCTACTTGACGGCTCAATGGTGAATTCTCCGGTGGTTGCTAGGTTCCCCTCCCACTACAAGAAAACTCGTCCATTACTAGGACGGGTTTTCCTCGTTAGTTCCTAGTAAATGGCCTTTTACTAGGAACTTACGAGGAAACGCGTTTCCTCGAAACACGTTCATCGTAAAGACATTTTCCTCGTAAGGTTGTAGCGAATTTACGAGGAAAGTTTTCCTCGTAAAGGCGTGGTAATATTTTCCTCGTAAGG